ATACCCTATAAGTATATTTAAGGCCCTAATCTATATAAATAAGGGAGAGATTATTTTTACTTTTACCTTATAGAGAATTTTAATAACTATATCCTAATTAACTAATAATACATTTTACCTAAGATAGTTTTCTTTTGATATAGCCGCTATATATGAGTACTATTAGGTATATACTCAAAAAGTAATATTTGCTTTGAATTTAACAAAGGAAGTTAATTCCTATTCTTTTTAAAACTATTTTAGTAGGATCTTAAGTAGTTAAAATAATTTCTCTAATATAATTTCTTATCCCTATCGGTTCTGCTCTATGAAAGGTTACAAGAACGATATTATTAATAAATAATTAGCTTTTTACTTATATTTCAGACATAGTATATATCACAGAGTCCTTTATACGAGAGCTATTAAATCCTAATCTATCAGTAGGTTAATTATATATCCTAATATATGGTATTAAAGACTATTTTCAAACCCAAGAAAGGAGGCCAAGGCTCTCTCCTTGTTTCTTTGTGGAATATAGTTCTCTAATATTATAAGATAGGTGAAAACTACTTTAGGTTTCTAGTAGGCTCACTTAAGCCATCTAATAAATAATATTAGATTCTAAGGATCTAGTATTTTAGATAAGGCCTTTAGTCTGCTTTTCCTAAGTAATCCTAGTCTTTTAATAGCTTATTAGTGATCTAGTTCTTATTGTTTGGTATTTGATGACGGTCGTGGCTCTGGGGGAGTCAGAGACCGGCATGGCAAAGACCTGGAATCGGGGATCACTAGGAAGAGCAGAAGAAGAAGCGGAGAGAGATGATGATGGTATTCCTAGATTCCCAGAAGGGAAGGTCTATCTACAACGGCGCTGGGCGCTGACACCTCAGGCACCCAATCACCTTCATCAGTATTATTACTATGTCTACAAAGGTCATCTATATAATTATAGCAAGAATATTATGCTACTACTTCTATAATTAAATAGCTCCCTTATAAATAGATAAAGAGTTACTCTTTATATTTAATAGTTATATAGAAGTATGAAGTAAGAAATATAAGCAACTATTTAACTATTATAGGGTAGATACCTTATTAGTTTAGTATTAATATAGTAGTAAAAAGTTACCAAGATGAGAGCGATTTAGTAGGAAATAAATATATACTAATTCTTACTGGAGTTAAGTATATTTTTTCGAAGGAACTAAAGCCTAGATAGTAAACTCTATAGGTCCTATAATTAGAATACTTAGAATTACTAAAATTTATAAAAATTTACATGGCTTATATTTATTATTATCTATACTACATATCAGCCCTAGGTCACCCTCTATAGTTCGTACCCTTAATAACCTATACTAGACCTACTTTCAAGGGTTGGGCCTAACGGTCTGTGACCCTCTATAGTCAGGTCGTAGTCTTAAGTCATTAGGATGAGCCTTAGTCTCTAGTAAGGTCTACTAACCTTCCGTAGATCATATAGGGCTAAAAACTAGCTACCTCGAAAGTACTTTCAATAGTTAAAGGTTTAAACGCAGAAATATAGCCCTAGAGGAATGCTTTAAGGAAATCAAGCTTACCGATATGATTAATATTGTATCGCCCTTTAGGTGGTAAAATAGCCTATATCTAGGGACTATAATAGATGCAGCTGTTATAGGACCTTCGTACGAAGTCCTGATATTGTTATACTCAGCTGAAGCTTCGTGACTGTTGACCGCCTTTTCGTTCTGCCATGTTTACCCACGCATCTTGTTTCCCCTTTCTTCCCCTTTTCTTTCTTCCTTTCTTTAATGAATCCTTCTTGTGCATAGGACATACCATCAATTGACACAATTTGGTCTGATCCCTAACAGCAGCGAATGTAGAGGCATACAGATTAGGATAATGTCGTTTTTAGAGTATAGCCAATTAAAATAGACGTTGAATGACTATTATAGCTATGTTTAACTAGTTGTCATAGGGAGAATTGCTTTTCTAGATATCCAAGCCTAATTTGGTCTATAGTATATCTATTATCGCTAATTTCAATTCTCTAATCGTTAGGCCATTATGCTAAGCCTCGTAATAGTAGATCTTCCTTTTAACAATAGAATGGTTAGGGGGCATCCTATCAAATTCATACATTCAATCGGTATAACCTATTTGTAATTCCCTAGCTGTGAGGTTGATCTCTAACTATAGTATTTAGCCCGTATAAATAGTCCTATCGCGAAGCTAGTTTCATTAAAATTAGAATTATCCTTGGTTTAGATACCGTTCTGGTCGATTATACGTCGTATAAGCTCAAACTAAAGCATAATAATACGTATATATTCGAAAAAAGCCGTTTTGTAATTGCACTGACGCGAAAAATGCGATTCGAGCTCTAGATGGCATTTAGTATAACTAGTAGACTAATTGTATCTGATAGTTATCTACCGTCGTCTACGAGTAGAATATTAACTATTTTACTCACTATACTAGGTTAGAGAGCTAATCTATGCAAACCTATAGAGAGATTCCATTTTGGGAGCTTTTTTTTTTCCTTTGGGAGTCAGTTTATGACGATTTACACGGATTTCAGGGCGAAAGGGGTGGCCATAGACGCGATCTTATAGGGTTGAGCGGGGAACTTAAAATAAAAGTCTAGCTTCGCGCATAGACGGAAATTCTTGAATTTAATACCCTGAATAGCTAACTAATAAGATGCGCCCCCCCCTGCCCCCTTTGCTTAGTTGAATTTTGTAATGATCAATTACGTATTAGTGGTATGATGGGCAGTTGAAAATTAAGAGTTGATGCGATGGGGTGCGATCGCGACTTAGTGGCCGGGCCGCTATACGTTATCTAGTCATCTTCTCGAAAGCCCAGGTCAGATGTGGATGAGATAGTGGTCTTCCTATAGGACGAATTCGATATCGAAGTGACAAATTCGAGTCTCAAAAGTGCTCCTACATCGATAGACTGGTTAAGAGTGTTGGCTAGATAGCAAGCAAAGGGATAGAGTGCCGACAGAAATAGAGCGGATGATAGAATTTGAGTCATATTTCAAGAACTAGTTTTCAAGGAAGAGAGTATTTGATCTATGCCCTGATACTATCATATAGTGCTGGATTTAGCTCTATAGGATCATTAACATGTGGTGTATTATTGTCTATAATAGATTGATAAGTAGGCTATTTTAATACTGAGCTTTCGAATTCGGATTATTGTATAGGGAAACCTAACTAGATAGGGAAAACCTATACTAAGGCAGGAAAAGAAACCGTTGGTAAGTCCAGATAGTTGGAACCTAGTCTACGGACTGGAAGCAAGCCCATCACACCTAGGTAGGCCTATTAGCAAGCAATATATGATGAAAGACAGTCCCTCGTGGTTCTCAGCTCTTACACTAATAGGGGACTGCCAAACCTAAGTCTCGCGCACGTAGTCGTTTTACTAAAGATATTCAAGTCAGCCTAGTATTCAGGTAGTCACTTCTTAACATAAGGCTAATCACTTGCGCACTATTTACACCCTCTCTCAGTCAGCCCTGTATTCTATAGTCGCGTTCTATCACTACACCTCTAATTTTCATTCACATACCTATCTTTTATTAAGTTGAAAATCGTCCCCTGCCACAGGTCCAATCACCACAAATGCGGCAAAGATGGCTACAGAGATGACAGTAAGTACCTTCATATTATCAATTTATCTCTTGCTTTCTCGGTGTTCGGAATATATTTTTTAAAAAAAAAAACATTTTTAGACAATTTGGAAAAATATAATAGAGCTATACTCATAAGTCAGCGGAGGATTACTATAAATAATATTTTAAGGTATTAATATAGTCACAGAAGTCTTCGGATCATCAAAGTAAGGAATAGAAGATGGCGTCTACTATTCCTACCGTACTTTCTATAAATCCTACCCTTAATAGAGTATCCTACTCATCTATATCCATTGATCGGTATGCGAAATACTACCTCTCGTCACCAGGTATATGCGATAGAGCTATGGTCCTCCTCTACGTAGCTATAGGTGATAACTAGGTTTAAGTTCTTGCCTCGAGCATAAAGCTTCCCCTACATAGGGACCTAGTCTTCCACTGTCTTCTAATCAAAATCAAGAGCATTCAATCACTTCGTCAGGTTACTTTGAGTGCGATCCTTAATCAATGTAACAATAAATGTGTCATCGGACCTCGCCCTTCTTGCTCGAGAGACATTCTACTGGAGTAATTTAACTGCGGCCCCTTAGGACCGCCAGCAAAACTAGTAATATAGGCCGCATTTTGTTACGTGGCTCGTTCAGGATGTAGCTTTCATAACAACCATCTTATCTTTATAGACTCTGAGGTAATGATATATATTTCAAGGCTACTCATAGCATTTCCTCCGTGCCTAATTATGTAGCTGCGCCCGAAGGCTTTTCAACAAGCAATGGAGAACCAGCCAATAGGAATGGTAGGGTTAATCGAGAGCACTAGTGTCTTGCTAGGGCCCGAAGATACCCACCGGGGAGAATATAGTGACTAGATTAAAACTTATGCTTGTGAAGGTTCCAATGCTAGTCTTTGCTTGCGTGTGTGACTATTAATTAGATCACTCATAGGACAAGGAAAGCCTGTTCCCTTCTTTTTCCAAAAACCTTTTTTTCTTGTTTTTAGTAGCCATGTGAATATATACAAGTTCTGACACAGTCGCTCTATATGTATATAATAATGGGTACTACAGATTTTGATGCATTATCAAAGGCAAACTTTAGTTATGTAACTCAATTATTTTTATTCTACGGTATATTTATAGCTTTTGCTGTAAAAACACCAGTAATATTCTTAAATACTTGATTATTAAAAGCTCACGTTGAATCACCATTATCTGGAAGTATTATATTAGCAGGTATAGTTTTAAAATTAAGTTTATACGGTATATTTAGATTAATATTACCTTTATTACCTAAAGCTTCTTTAAATTATACTTATACATACAGGTGGTAAAGTAACCCAGGATACTAAACCATCCTTTCCCCAATAGCATCATGCCAGAGACTCGAGGTCAGTCCGGTCGACTGCAAAGATCTTTACCACATCTTTGGATGATCACACACCGGGAGCCATCATGAGCATGGAAGCCATTTTCTTCCAGGTCCCGTTGACCACTCGGCCATATCTCCACAGAGAAGTCCTCCGAATCCTCTGCACTCACCGATTCATGGATCGCAACCACTCGACGCGCTTGCATCAGATCACCACACTCGAGGACCGTGATTCGGGCTCGGAGCTTTCGGGATAGAGTGATGATTCGACCATAGAAGACGTCCTCTGGTCGACCCGAATCAGAGACCTGACCACGACGGGCGGGCGGTACTAATGCCAGTTTGGGCTCAAAGTGCCGAACGCTTCGCGCCGTTGTGCCATTCCGAAAATCAGAATGGGAGACATAGGGTGGATTTGAGACAAGTAGGTCGCATGCAGGCAGGCCTTGGTCGAATAACACGGCCTCGACCGCCGGGAGGCCATGCTCACCATCCCCGAGCACATCCGCGAGGCGGAACTGCACGTCTGCAGATGCACGGTCGGTCAAGAGGCCGCGTTCAAGATTATGGGTCAGGTTCCTGCGTGCGAGCTGCAACGCCATGGGACAGATGTCGATGCCTATAACCCGTAATTGTTCGACATGGGGTGCCAGAAGCGCATGCAGCAGCAGGGCGATGCAGCCTGTTCCGGTGCAGAGATCGAGAATGCTTAGAGACTTGGTCCTCGAAGTCTCTGTAGCCCGGCGGATCAACTTGGCCGCCTGGAAGGTATAGGCCTCAGTTTCGAGCCTACGACCGGTTAGACAGGCACTCTCCGCGGACGGAACCAGGGGCAGACCTGGGGATCAACACGCCTCGTCTGCACAGGATGTCTAGGTCGCCGAATGGCTGGTCGCCGAGAACATACTGCAGCGGGAATCCTTTCGATCGCGCCCGACACATGGACCTCAGCCGCGTGGCCCATCCGGGGGCCGGGCCATCGCGAAGGGCGCGCTCCCGTAACCAGCGCAGCTCGTTGCGGGCCGATTCGAGGGTGCGGCACTCCTTGAGTAGCAACGACAGCAGGGGGCTTTCCCGAGCCACCGTGGTGAGCAAAGAGGGCGGCAGACGCGGCATTATTGTCGCGCTTGCCTACGTGGTGGAGGAGCCGCGGGAGGTGGATTTACGGGAAATCGGGGTCTACGAAAAAATAAGAAATAGTTCAATCAGATGGAAGAGAAATCTGCGCCCAATCACGCCTGTATACACATCACGAATATCCCAAAAGAAAACGAAGAGAAAAAAAAATAATCTACAATGCCAATAGATAGCCTGCGCCTATGAGCCCTAGCGCCACCGGCTTCGGCATCCCCGTTGGCACGGTCGCCGCGTTGCTCGTCAGAGAACCGAGGTCGCCCGACCCCTGTGGCTGTCCCAGACGGGCTCCGGATCCATCGACCGCAACAGTGGTCACCGGGTGTGCCACCGCGGTCGCGCCGGGGACCGCGTCGTCGCCGGTGCCAATCTCTAAAACGTTCCCACCGGCGGTGTTGAAGCGGGTATTGGCCAACGAGATCTCATTGTTGGCAAGGTCGTAGACCACGTACGCACTCCGCAGAAACGTGTCCCCCAGGACGGACGTGCTTTCGCCCGCGGGGACGATGCCGAACATGCATGCCCTCTTCCCATTCGAGAAGTGCAAGTCCTCCCCCGAATCCATGACCAGCTCCTTGATGCTGACATTAATTGTCGGGGATGAGAAAGTGTAGGCAAAGGTGATGTCGTCCTCGGCCATGCTGCATGGGACATATCCCACGCCGCTGGAGGGCTCGTACAGCACGTTCAATTCTTCATAGATGTCCCGGACGATCGCTGTGGGGAGGTAGGTGAGCGAGCTTCCCGAGTCCAACAAGACGGCCGCGGGCAATGCATTGGACGAGTAGCTGCGGTGACCCGAGGAGGTTTCCACCCCGATCCCCGTGAGCGCAATGACGAACTCGGAGTAGACCCCGCCAGCCTTCTGGAGCGGAAGGGTCTCGAGCGTGCCGTGGTACTTCTCGGTGTTGACCCCGCCGAACAGGATGGAGCCGGTATTGGCGTCCAGGTCGTTCAGCCACAGGCTGTAGGCAGTGGACTTAATCAAGCCCTTCTGGACCATCGCCTTGGGCAGATTGGCGTAGGCCTTTTGGCCATTGCGGCCGACCTGGACTTCGTTGGCGGTATAACCGATGCCAAGGACGCCCTCTGTCCCACCGATATCAGCTGTGTGCGCACGTCGGGGGGAGTGGAACAATTACGTACCTGCTGATCCGGACGAGAGGCCCACGCCAAACTGGAAGTCCTTGAGCGTAGCACCCCCAATGTGCAGGGTATCGGTGGCATAGTCGCCCACGGCGCCCGAGCCGTCGGCATAACTGATGTTAAAGTCCTTGGAGACGAGCGAGTAGGTTGAGGACGAGCTGGAGTCGTAGGTGCCGGAACCGGTGGCCCTGCAAGGGTCCCCGTGAGACTTGCAGAGGGCGGAGGTGGGTGTGTTGCACCACAGATCGCTGCTGCCGGTATCGATCACCAGGCGCAGGTCCTGTTGGGGAGTGCCCAGCGAGACATTGCAGTAGTAGAGCGTGCCCTCATTGAGCAGAGTCTCGCTGACGGTCAGGTCGCGCTTGCGACGGGCTCTGTCTCGGGCGACCGGGTCTGCGACGTGCTTGCGTTGGATATCGAGCGAGACGACCGCGGGAGAGTCTCGTTGGACGAGGTGTAGACCGCCTAGGACGGGCAGCGCAAGGGACAGCAGCAGTGCATTCCTCATGGCGAACATTCCGATGAGTGAGAAGGAGCCATGAAGAATCAAAGGTAGGAGAAGACTTAATTACTCGGTACGGTGGATTGGATGGACGAGTGATTGGCGTCACCACTGTGGGCCGCGAAGGAGCTGACGCGGAAGTGGGCCGTCTTGGGTTAGGCTGCGACTTTTAACTATTAATACTACCCTACGTCAGTCAAGGCCGCTACAGTCCCACCGCCGCCCGTACGCTGCGCATCGTCTCCCCCGTCTGGCCCTGGGCCGCCTGCGCCCCCATCTGGGCGATCGTGTCCAACGACGCTGGGTTTGCCATGAGCGCCGCGTAGCCTTCCCGGATTTCCCGCAGGTGATGCGCAATCTGCCCGGCCACTCGTTCCTTCAGCGCCCGCAGGCTTGCACTTTCGTACTCCTGCACAATCGTCTCGCACGGCCGCTCCTCGAAGTGGCTGAGGATCTCAATCAAGTTGGACACCCCCGGGCGCCGCACCGGGTCGTACGTGATGGTCGTCTCCGAATCCGTGAGCGCCACCTTGACCTTTTTGTGAATTGTGGTCGGGTCGTCCGTGAGAAGGATGCGCGATCGCTCATCCGCATGCGACTTGGACATCTTAACCGTCGGTTCCTTGAGGGACATGACCCGTTTTGCCGGGGCTGGCTGGGTTAGCGGCGGACTTGGTTCGATCGCTGCGAGGCGGACTCACAGATGACGGCCTCGGGGATCGGGAAGATCGGCCCGTATATGTGATTGAAGCTATTCGCCGTGTATCGGGAGAACTCCAGGTGCTGCTTCTGGTCCTCGCCAACCGGAACATGTGTAGCCCTAGGTCTGTCAGCCAGGGACGTAAGTCATCAAAAAGCCCGCGGGCACGGTACCTGTGAACGAGGATGTCGGCGGCTTGGAGGACAGGGTAGGAGAAGAGGCCGAGACGTAGTTGTGCCCGTGCGGCAGAATGGTCGAGCGTCGTATCTTCGGGCAGCTGGAGCTTGCTCTGGACCGGGGTCAGTTCAACTCCTGCCCATCGCTCTGTGATGCCTCACCTTCCACTGGGTCATGCGCGACAGGTAGCCCATCGACGCGACGGTGCTTAGGATCCACATCAACTCGGTATGCGCAGGGACCTATAGGGAGAACCCGTCAGTCAAGGAGCAATTGCTGCCGGAGAACCTTGACCGACCGCAGATTGGTAGAAGATAGTAGAGCGCTTGGGGTCCAAGCCGACGGCCAGCAGGGTTGCAAATGCCTCAGTCCTCCATCGCCGCAGCTGGTCCGGGTCTTGCGGGACAGTCAAGGCATGGAGGTCGACAATGGAGAAAAACAGCTTGGTCTGCGGATCCGCATCTTGCTGCAGCTTTACCCATTGCCGGAGGGCGCCCAGGTAGTTGCCCAAGTGCGGCACTCCCGTGGGTTGAATGCCGGAGAAGATGGTCGGTTCGCGGTTGGCGCTGGAGCTGCTCGGCCGATGGCCGGACCGGGGTGCAATGGAGGGTCCGGGGCACGCACTCAAGAGCAGAGGCCTAGTCGGAATGGTGCCATGGCGACAGATGGTGGTCCGCATCTCGGTCGGACCATTGGAGGAACGCGACGCGGGAAACAAAATCTCGAGCCCGAGAGACCCCGGGTCACGTGCCGCATACACAGGATGTACAAAGTCATACGAACTGGCTCGGTTGCCAAATGCTCCCGTTCGGAGTCTATTGTTTGAGCGTGATAGTATGCTAAAATACAGGAAGCCCGGGGAAGGCTTTGGAGGGTGGAGGAGAAAAGCGCAAGGCCACTATAGACAAGGGAGGAAGAAGGGAAGAAGCGTCCATCTAGATGTCTCGGCGTTCCTTGAATCGCTCATTATCCAGATTGTCGAATATGGTGTTGACGCGGTCTGCGGAGCTGCCTTTGCGCAAGCCGAATTGTGCAAGGTCCGCTCCGAGAGACTTTTCAATCTCAGCCACCGACGAATCCATCGCTTTGCCAACGTCTATTCAATAATTAGTGCATGCGCAACCACGGGATCAGGTAGGACCCAAAAAAAAAAAAAAAAGCATACCAAGGCTCTCGTGTTCCCAAACATTTGCCTTCATGCCCACCCCGTAGAACGCGTGTTTTCGGAGGAAGGCGAGCCATGCTTCGACAGCTTGCAGGTCGCCATCTTTAATCTGAATTAGGCGGCGAAGGGTAATCCGTTCAAAGTTCTCCTGGCTCTTCTTGTGAACAAAGTTGCTCCGCGGCACGGTCCAGCGCTCGACGATGCGCGGCAGGGGGATGGGGCCGGACACCGGCAAGTTGAGGTAGTAGGCGGCACGGATTGCAAAATCCGCAAAAAACTCGACGTTCCGGACGCTATATGATCGCAATTGAAGATCACAGACCGGAAGACCGTGTTCGGCCCGTCTCCGTAGCGGCCGCAGATAGATCGCCTGTACACTCCGCGGCAGTCGTGTATTCTCACCAAGCGCCCCTAATCGGTCCGCCCTAAGATACAGCAGTCAGCAATTGCAGTCCAGCTGATTGGTAGCAAAAGACGCACCATTCTTTCACCGGTTGTTCGGCGAGCTGCTCCGTTTCCGCCGACCTGGGTGAGTCTCTGATCAGTAACCCATCTTACCACGCAGAATTCAATTGAATTGGTCATACTGGATAGCGGAGTTCGGTGGTACCTCCACTGGAGGGGCTGTCTGCTTTTGTGGTTGAGATGGGCTGGGTTGGGTTGGGGATGATAGTGGGCGCAAGGAGCCAGGCACCTAGGCAGATGTCAGCGCGGAAGTTTTTCGATCGTGGCGTGAGAACAATAATTCCCCTACCTTGAGGCCCCTGGCAGCCCGGGCCACGGAGCGGACTGGAAGCGCGAACATGGTTGGCGATGAACAGAGAAGGAAGGCACGTCGGCCAGTTTTCGGTGGATTTTCTGCCTCGTTGTTCACCGCCTGACTATCCAGGGTTTTTAGACTGTTCAACCAGGGTTGTTGGGATTTGTATAGATCGGGTGTATACCTAGTAGGTAGTTAGGTAGATACTCGGTAGGGTATATTATATCGTGCAGAAGCAATAAATTAATATGGCATCGATCTGTCTGCAGCGGTGGTCAGATCAATCCTAAACTAAACTACATAGTATTCCGATCACTTCCCGGCGGGGCTCCAGTTTCTTCCTCCACCCATTCATCACCCGCAAAGATGTCTATTTTTGAACGAGCGACGGAGGCCGTGTCTTTCCTGACACAAAAATTGCCGCACGACTTCCCGCGTCCCCGGGTGGCTATCGTCTGCGGATCAGGCCTCGGTGGTCTCGCCGATACCATTCAAGACGAGCCGCGGGCCGAATTCGACTATGCCACCATCCCCCATTTCTCGCAATCCACGGTGGCAGGACATGCTGGAAAGCTGGTATTCGGGCTGCTAGGTCCGATCCCGGCCGTGTTGATGCTGGGCCGCCTACAGTAAGCCCCGGTGTAGAGAATGTGGGTTGTCAAAGGCTAACCGACGCAGTTACTACGAGGGCCATGCCATCGACCAAGTGACATTCCCCGTCCGAGTGTTTAAACTGCTCGGCGTGGACACCATCGTGTGTCAGTTTCTATTCCAACCCTCGAAAGGGCCTATATCTCTAACCTGGGACAGTGACCAATGCCGCGGGTGGCCTCAATCCAGACTACGCCGTGGGAGATATCGTACTGCTCAACGATGTAGGATTGATTGTCTATCTACACTGTAACGGACCGTTGCTAACGATTTAACACAGCACCTATTTACGGCGGGACTGGCAGGCGCCCACCCACTAAGAGGGCCCAACGCAGCTGAATTTGGGGTTCGCTTCCCACCACTATCTGATGCTTACGACCTGGAACTTCGTCGACATGCACACCAGGCCTGGAAAACCGTCGTGGCTTCGGGGGCCACCCGTAAACTGCACGAAGGCGTCTATGCGTTCGTCGCGGGCCCCAGGTAAGGACCATAGACCTAACTCGTGTGCCCTAAACTGACATTCCCGCAGTTACGAGACCCGGGCAGAAAGCCGCATGCTTCGCATGCTTGGGGCAGATGTGGTGGGCATGTCGACTGTGCCAGAGCTCGTCGTTGCTCGGCATTGCGGTATCCGAGTGCTTGCACTCAGTCTGGTGACCAACAACGTTGTGTTGACACCCGTCCCCCGGGGAGACGAAGAACGGCTGCAAGGTAAAGGGGCTGGAGAACTGAGCGCTATTCTGGAAGCAGGCAAGGCAGGACACGAGGAGGTTCTTGAGGCCGGTCGTGCCGCCGCAGCTGACATGCAGGTAAGTGGCACCACTCTTGTGTTTTTCTTTACGTTGCAGATACCAGGACTGACCATCTGTGGTAGAAATTGGTGGTGCAATCCCTCTTGAATGTCTTTGACCACGCTTGAAAAGGCAGAAAACCCTGAGGAGCAAGGCTCACGCAACGTCAGATGCCGTCCATTGACAAAGCAGACATTTGCCATGGAGGATAGTCAACCGCCGTCGACACCCCAGGCATTTCCCGGTATGCAGGAAGACTTTGGAAAGACTTTTTGAGTCCCATGCCGCTCCTGCCACAGCTGGTCGTGGGGGATTGGCCGTCACCCCTGGATTGCAATTCCCAATGATGGAGACCTTCTAGACCTCACTTGTTCTTTCGACTCCTCTTTGCCTGTAGGTTCTTGTAGAAAGACTTCTTTCCACTCTGTTTCGTGTGCTGGATGTCCTGATACTTGGATGCAAAGCGCTTGTTCTGCCGCTCCAGGGCCATGGTCTCCTCGACAAAGGTCTTCTTTCGGTCCTTCTTTGCAATGCGGCCACTGAAGAACTCCGTTGGACCCTCAATGATGGTCCCCACCTGAGAAAACTCGGGTGGCTTGGCCTTGCCATTTTCCTTCTTGTAATGCCGCTTGGGATCCAACACGGAACGCATCCGAAGGAGCTGGAGATCCCTCCTGAGTTCAGGAGTCAACTCGGTCTTGGGCAGATTAAACCAACTGGGCCCGGCTGTAGGTTTGTCCTTTTCAAGCAATGGCTGTCAGCAGAGGATCGAAGGTATTTCACAACACAGACCAATGGCAAGAAGGCAAGGATTGAATGCTCAGAGTAACTATGAAATGATGAAGCTCTCACTGGTGCAGCACAGCCCAAAACGGACTGGTCACGCTGCATCAAGCGCTAACGCGTGGGAATAAAATTTCCTCATAGCAATGGGGGATGGGAGGGAACAAGGGAAGATGTGCACTCACTTTACTGGGCTGCTTCTTCGCTACCGAGCGCAAGGAGACCGACCGAGTTTTTTGTTTGGGGTCGACGAGGTGGGCTGAATCAATTGTGGCGATCTCGTCATCCTGGCGGACATAGGGTTCCAGAGAAGGCGCCGATGAGAGCGTGGGTAACCTAGTAGGCCGTTAGACTGGAGCTCTGGTGTGCATTGGCTCGGTATAGCATACCGTTGAGAGGTAGAGGGTTGCACGGGACCTCGCAGACGGGTCTCTGCCTCAAGGAGCAGCTGTTGGATCTGGTCGTCGGTCAGATCGACCTCGGGATCTGCCATGTTGTGGGTTGATAAAAGAGAAGGAAGAAAATCATCCACTCGGTGTTTTTTTCTGCTTCGGATCGGACCAACCTTGCGCCGGGACTAGTCCACGTGACAACCCCCCGGGGTTCACTGGCAGTGGGTGTAGCTACAATAGTAGAATAATTATGTACGGCTACGTAGTGACTGACTTGGCTATGATAAAGGTACCTGCAATAATCCACTCGACGGTATTCTGATTCACGTCGATTGATCTCTCTGAGTTGTGCCGCAAACGTCAGAACGGCTGACTCGGCCTTGGCGCGAACGCGACATCCCAACCTCTTCTCTCTCTCTCTCCTCTCCCGCTCTCCTTTCCATCGCAAACAGCCTCATTATTCACCCAATTCGCATCATGGATCAAGCTCCCCCGGGCGCACCGCAGCAGCAGGGCAGACAGCCCCAGCCCCAGCAGCCCTACAACATCGAGCCCGGTGGTCATTATGGTACGTTCTCCGCGCCGGGACCCAATCTACGCGCGCACGGTTTATTTCGAGCTGGTAACTAACCGTTTCTGCAGGTGCCTGTGCCCAGGTATGATTTGACTGAGCCTTGGAGCTCTCTGGCTCTTGTTCGAAATGTAGCTAACGCGGTCCGATCTACTCTAGCTTGCTAGTACAGGATACGCGCCGCTCGCCGAACTGTACACCGGCACCTGGGCTAACGTAGGTTTCCCATCCCCCAATTCCAAGCGACTGGTTTATCATCTAACCAATACTAGGTGAATCAAGGTCTCACAGGGCAGGCCCGTGATATCTTGACGACCTATTGGCAGCATGTCATCAGCCACCTGGAAAACGAGAACCACGACTACAAGATCCACCAGCTGCCGCTGGCGCGTATAAAGAAAGTGATGAAAGCGGACCCAGACGTGAAGATGATCTCTGCTGAGGCGCCTATTCTCTTCGCCAAAGGTTGCGATATCTTCATCACCGAGCTGGCGATGCGCGCGTGGATTCACGCAGAGGACAACAAGCGGCGCACCCTGCAGCGGTCCGACATTGCGGCGGCTCTTTCAAAGTCTGATATGTTCGATTTCTTGATCGACATCGTCCCGCGCGAGGAGGCGACCTCCCATGCCAAGCGCTCGAGCCAGGCTGCGGGTCCATCGGCGGGTGCAGCCGGCCAGATGCCGCCGCAGCATGGTGTGCAGCCACACCAGCACATGGGACCTGCGGATTACGGCTCTCTCGGTCAACATGCTCTCCCTCAAGACCAAGAATACCGTCCGCAGCAAGCGATGTACGGTGGAGCCGATCCCACGGCAGCGTATGGGCAGCCGCAGCAACAAATGTTTGAGGGGATGTATGCCTATCCGCATATGCCTCCGCAGCAGGTACGTGAATCTAGAAGCCCCCACAAGCCTTGCAAATTCCTCGTCTCAACGGAGGGGCTAATGTGATTCAGTGAGTGCTTCATGCCGTGCATGGTTCGACACTCGCCTTAGTTTACGAATGGATGTGCTTGGAAGGCGAATGTTTTTGTGTTTCTTTTTCTTTTGGGATTTTGCGAGGCAAAGGCAACCGGATACCAATGATTGTTGGATAGGAGATTCTGCTACATTTCTTTCACGGACCTCGCCGAGGGTTCATTTTGATTATTGAAGATGAGCGCAAACCATATGCCATGTGTATTCCAAGGCTACATAATCTACCACACTATGGCTTACAATAACTTCTAAATTCATCACGTCTTCTTTCCGAACCGGGAAGATATGGTGGCAAACTTGTCCGCCTTGGATGGGGCTTGGACTGTCCGGGTAAGCCTGATGAAGTAGAGAGTTAGTAAATGGACCCGAGAGACAATGAGGGGTTTGCTGGCCATACTTTTCCAACAAAAGAGGCCCTTGCATGGCATCGACTCGTCCGTATTTCTTGTTTCGCGTCGAGATATCGTAAAACTCATCTGCATTCTCCGCTTGCATCAGTTGCACCGTCTGCTGCAACTCGTCAAGGTTTTCGCGCAGGATAGGCACCCCAAGGCTGTCCACGAATTGAGCAAGATGCTCAAAATCCTTGGCTAACGCGGCTACGCCGTTGGGGTTGATCTTCTTTACATCTGGGGAAAGTGGTTGCAGCTAAAGTACCCGTCAGCACAGTATGTAGTGCGGACATCATACAGCCACTCACCAGAATCATATTAGCCGCATGGCTGAGCGCATCAAAGTAGATGAGCTCTTTGATCTCTGTGGGCAGACCAAGCAATGTGGAGTTCATGATATTAGACAGGAACCGAGTCAAGGTTTGCATGTAATTGCTAGGTTCCGTTGGAGGCCTGGGAGACATCCATTCATATTCTGCGGTCTCAATGAGGTCGTCAATCTTGGAGTTGACTACCTCAAAGATACGCTTCTCGGCAGTTTTCTTGTTATTCCGGAATTTCTCTGTTGCTCTCAGAGATATTGAAGTGCCGGTTGAATTTTGTGAACGCGCTGCTGCCAGCAGCAGCTCGAGTTCACGACAAGCTAGCTCAAAGTGCTCCAGATTAATGAGGATCTGAACGATCTGGCCTAGATACTGCGAGGAAAGTCGGTCCACCAGGGTATCACAGACCTTCCGCGAAAGGAGATCGTCCAAGGCCTGCTCGGTTAGCAATGCTCGTCTGTGCGGGTCCACTACTCGATTGACTCACCTCTTTCAAGGTCTCATCGATGACATTCGGATGCGAAAACTCGTCATTGGCGAAAAAGTAGAACTGGTTCAGGAAATTCCGGATGTCGATGCAGCACAGGGGGTACATCTGCGAGAATGGCAAAACACATGGGAACCTATAGGCTTAATCAGTCGCAGTCGAAGACCACCGAAAAGGTTTCTGAGACGTACTGATGCTCGTCGCGTGGCTTTTCAGGACTGTACCAGCTGACGTTGAGCACCTTGTCAAACTCCTCCGGAGTTTGTATCGGCATGGGCATGTAGTCGTCGGTCGATACGATCTAATAGGGCATGTGAGCAAAATGAAGCAGACAACTGACAGAAGCAGTAGTACCTCCTGGAAGTCATCGCTGAACCGCTTCTTCAGCAGCTCCGAGTATTTCTCGAAGAGAGTGAGTAGGAATTCATCAAAGGCCCTCACGGGGTAGTTCCAGGTCTGCTCGGCTCGTCAGTCCTCCGGTCTCAAATTGATTAGGAGACAAAGACACCTACATCCATCGTTTGCATGAATAACGCAATCAAGTTTTTGATCTTCAAAATGTTTTCTGCATTGTCGACCTCATGGAGCGCCTTGGAAATCAAAGCGATGGCGTTTTGGCACATCGAGTCCCAGAGTTCGTCAATCTAATCGGTCGAATACTTGTTTAGAACATTTCTCCACGCGCGTTGGAAATTGGGAAAAAGGGAACCCTACATCGACGGACGATCTCAGGTCCGGCACTCTTTTCATTGTCGCCCGCTCCACAATGGCAAACCCAGCCATTTCTTCGAGGAGATTGTGTAGACCCGCGCCGTCTTCGTCGATCAGGGTGATCGTGGAAGGAACTAGTAGATCTTTTTGGCGCCGCCGAGTATTGGCGTACTCGATGCGAAATTTGTCCATCTGCCCTAGGGACTGGTGGATATGCAAACACTCAAATAGCGGGTTAAAGGGAACCTGGAGCACATCATTGTGCAACAGGTCGTATTCCTCGTCTTCGTCCGACACGAGTTCAATGGGAGAATTAAGCTTGAAGTGCTCCAAGTATGGCATTTTCTCCGCTCGTTGTTTGTGCCTTGTTTTCCGCTGGTTGGTGTGATAAAGTGCAATCTCTCCCAGATACTGGGACATTTCCCGAATCCTGTAGAGCCAGGTATTCAAATCCGACATGACCGCTTCCGCGATGGCTCGTTGCATGGCCGGTACCGAACTCTGGATCATGACCGCGATCTTATACTGCGTCACCCCTTTCAGGTGCACGTTCTGCAGCTCCTCCAATGCACGAAGGGCGGCATAGTGGTTCTTCCTCGCGAGCAAATCATGCACTTGATTGGCAAGGCGCAGCACCTCCAGACAATCTTGGATGGCTCGGGATGTCTCGTCAATGTTCTGCCGATGACCGCGCGACTCCACGAGAGCCTTCTTCTGTTCGGCGAGTCGCTCAGTGCTCGTCTGGATGGACTGGTTGAGGTCCAGGATCTCTGCCGTCAGGCTGACGGTGCCTTCGCGAATCCGCAGGAGGGAGTTGACCGACGAGACGAACTCCTGATGGTTGGTGTTGCAGATGCTCTCGATCTCAGCCTCCTTGTCACTCGCGAAGCGGGATAGCGCCTGTAGCAGCTGTGGTGTACGGTTTCCAATGCTGTACTCTCGGATGGATGGAATTAGCTGGTCTAGATAGTCTGTATCGGATGGCGAGATGATGATCTGTCGGGAAAGCCTGGGTCAGCACTGTTTTGGGGGAGCCTTCAACAGCTTCTCGAGCCCACCTGGTTCAAGACATGAGGCTCATTGCGAGCAGGAGCCACAGAAGGCATGATGATGCAGCAGCTTCATCCGTAGGTCGAGTCCTCCCACTAGATGAGCAGCGTGTTGCCCTGCAGCTCGTGACCCTAGAGCTGGCATGTTGACGCGGAAGAACAATGATCCGAGGCGATAACGAAGATCACGTGGACAACCTTGACCTAACGTCAGGCCTTGGGGGGTTAGATATGGAAACAATTTCATCTTGCACACTCACAACTGCTTCAACCGAGAAGGTGAAAGCCTGGTGCACTTGGAAATGAGGATAGGAAGCTTTCCCACCTATTGGCAGCAGGCCTTTGCCTCATTAAGGGCCGTTGTTGTTGTTTTGGGGGGGGGGGGGGGGGGGGATCACTGAAGCATTTTGAATTCTTGCCGGCAAACTATGCATTATCTCTGCTGGCTGATTCACAGCATCTCAATGAAGATATTCTGGGATATCATGGGAGACAATGCCTTGGCTCAAGCATCTCCATGTTTTCTTTGACGCAGACCAGTGAGCTGGTTCTGTATGCCTTATTTACTTGAAAAAAATCCAGTGAATCTATTTTACTCTACTGACTCTCTACCATCATGTATTCTCCTGGCCATTCTACTCCTCTGGGACCTTCTGTCTATCCTGCGCATGCTTTTCGAGCGTGTCAAGGAGGGAATTTCTCCCCAAGCAGAAGAAATCCCGCCAGACGCTTGGTTTTGTTCTGATTTCGTTGGGATCGTCGGGACTCCCATTCACTGTCGCCCAGATTGCGCCAGTCACACGCTCAGCATCGTGGTGGCAGCGCAGATCACACAGTTAAATCGAGCGACGCCATTTGCTGATGGATCTCAACGACTCTCAACGCCGAGAGCGCCGAGAGAATCCAGCGTAACGTTGTGCGAAACAGTGAATGAAGATGAGGCCCAGTATAAATTCAGAGGCCCTCTCATTCATTCATTCTTTCTGCACCCCTTTCACCTCTTCCCACAACATTCAGCCTCATCATTCCCTTGTGCAGGCACTCTTTTCACACCATCACCTTCTTTCTGTTCTTGTCCGTTGCTATGGGCAGCTCTATGAAGAGCCCACTGCCTGGGGTGCCTCAGCTGCCACAGGAAACTCCAGCTATGCAGCTGGCAGCTTTTACCCCAGCCACGTTTCGCCAGGGGATGGTGGAGTTCCAGCCTGGAACTGGATTCCCAAACCTGTAAGGCAACTGCATCTGACCTTCATGGCTTGCATACATGTACTGATTTGTGTCTAGAACCAATCGGGACCCATTCATGGGCAAGGTTGCGGAATCCTATGGTCAGGTCCGAGCTTCGCGATTCAAATTCGGAGCGCGGGCTGGGGAGGCCTTGGTTTCTCCAATTCAATTCAGCAAAATTGAGCCTGGTGTTCTGCGGGCGGCAAACTCCGGGCATGAGCTTCTTGGGATTCGAGAGGTTGCCAAATCCTCCGAAGACAAGAAGAATCTGACCTTCGAACGTCGCCACCGAGCTTTTTCTGTGGAAAACATCCACAACTTGGCAACCTTGGAGCTGGCAACCTTTTTCCAGGTAAGGGATCCAAGAACGACGTGCATGCGAGACATGACCCGGCTAACTTCAGCAGACTGACGAGTTTCCTTCCGTGGTCGGACCAGACCTCGCAGATCTTCCGGAATACCAGAAGATCTACGTTGCCTTCAAGGACTGCCGTGATGCGAAGAGTGCCATGGACAAGATTGGGCGCCTGCAGCCGGAGTGGCGTGTGACCCCTCTGACCGCGAAGGAGTACGCCAAGGCTGTTTATGGACACTCCCACGTTGGTTCCGTGTCTGACTTTGATGGCCAAATCAACGCCATCATCTACCATGACCCAGCGCACACCGGCCTGGATGCGGATGGTGTTTCTAACACTCTCCGATTTATCCTTGGACATGCTGGGGATATCCACACACTCCGACCTCAGGAGGTTCGGCATTCGCACATTCATGAGTTCTTGGTGGAGTTTTCCAGTTCCCAGGCGGCAGAGAACGCAATTCGGGCATTCGATTGTTTCATGTACCAGGTACGTTGTTTGGCCTTGCGCTGATTTGAGTTCAGTCTAATGCCATTCAGGGATGCGTTCTCGAGTTGAACCCTCACAAACCGGACCTTGATCGCCCTCGTCCTCGCTCTGGGAACTCATTCTCGCGCGCTGACGTTCCGTACCGCCGCGGCGGTCGCGCTCGCAATGTGATTACTCCAACTGGCCACACCCCATACACGCCTGCGGCATTCGACGATGACAACTTCGGAAACTCTCCATCCCTCCGACACGGCAAGCACCAGGCTCAGATCGTCAATGTTGAGAACATCCGCCTTGGAATTGACACCAGAACTACTGTAAGTAATTACTTTGAGCCAATTCATTGATTTTTCTGATATGTCGGCTTCTCCAGGTAATGCTCCGGAATATCCCTAACAGGATGACCCAGGTATGACTGATCTATGAATGAGAGACATGAAGGAGCACTGATGTCAAATCAAAGGCAATTCTGAAGCGTATTCTGGACCAGACTTCCTTCGGGAAGTTCGATTTCATGTACCTGCGCATGGGTGAGTGCCTGTCTATGATTCTTGAGCCACGACAGAAAGCTGACTTTGTGGTATAGATTTCAGCAATGGCTGCAAGTAAGTTCTTGCTCACTTAGAGGTTGATACGCTTGATTGACTGTGTTTATTTAGCGTTGGATATGCGTTTGTCAATTTCCCAGATGTAAGGAACCACCCGGGCTTCTTTCCTTTCAATAATTCGCAGCTGACGGTGTATAGCCCATGGACATCGTGGAGGTACGTGTTCTGAGCCGTCATGGATCTCGCAGACTGTACTGACTTTCTTTCTAGTTCCTGGACGCCCGGGCTGGACGACAGTGGTATGAGGGCCAAATTTACACGCAAAATGACTTGGCTTACCTGGGATATCACAGGGATCTTTATTCCAGCGACAAGATCGCTGAAATCAGCTACGCAAGTGAGTTGTCTCTTTTCTAGGAACTGCAATGCTTTACTGACAATGACAACAGCCTTCCAGGGCAAGGGGGAGCTGGTGAACAAGTTCCGCAACAGCTCGGTCATGCTGGTCGAGTCTGCTTATCGTCCGAAGGTGGTTCGAGTCGTTTTCTTCCCAAGTGGTGCCGGTGCTGACGCTATCTAGATCTTTGCTATTGGAACTGGGCCCCAGGCAGGAAACGAGGTTGAATTTCCTCGCCCGAACGATCCGGTTAAACTTCGACGCAGCATTGCGAATTCGAACAACAACGGTATGAATCTACACCCTTTCCTCGTCGGGCTAATGAGAAAATGCTGATTGATCGTATGCCAGGCCTGTACGGCCCTCGCCCCTCGTCCCGTCGCTCAGCTGAAACTGGCGGCGACCGCGATGGCATGATCACTCCTTCAAAGCGAGTCGACTTTGAGCACCGCGTTGGTTCTAATCGTTCCGGACATGGAGGGACTTGGGAGATGCCCCTGGGCCGTCGCGGACAAATTTCCTGATTGGCGATTGAGGATTTACTCAGAGAAACAGTCACCAGTTTTCTGGTTTGGTGGATTGCTCATGATTTGACGAATAATCTGGGTTGACGATTTCTGGGGGTGATCTGGCGTCTGATATCTTCCATTCCTTTCTTTTCCTGTTTTGCCCTACTGTACTTGGTGTCTGGGGATGATCTGGCTGGCTGACGACCGTCTGACCCTCTTGCGGGAAACGGATGGATGATGGCAGGCCAGATGGGGCCCGTTGACTGCCGATATTTTGTCTTTTTTGCTCTTTTGCTTCAACTCTGCTTTATTGTTCTGTTTATTCTATTTCTTCACCTCGTAGTTGTAGTTAACTTAGTTGGAGTGGATGACAAAAAAGATCGATCCACCGCCCAACTACCCCAATCTCCAACCTCCGAATTCTTTCTTTCCCCGCGACACGCGATCAGTGGCTCGCCTCTGATACGTAGCTGTTTTTGCATCTCCATCATGGACGCCACGGAGATCCACGCTGTGCATTCGATGCTGCATTTGGTTTTCCATCGCAATAAGAACCAGCATCAGCGCGCCAAGTGGTGGAAGTGGCTGTCGCTTTTGAAGCACACCACCCTGGATCTGGCCCAATCGCTCGATGGAGCGCGTCTCAACGTAGCCGAATCTCACCGCCAGCATTTGGTTACACATTTGATTCCGAGATGCTATCTGTATGTTGACCGGACGCCAGACTCCCGCATCCGACGTGTCCCCAAAAACACACTGACGCCACTCCTAGTGCCTTCACCACCGTCGTGGCCGACAATCAATTCTCTGCGCTCGGTATCGTGCTCATGGCTACTCTAGCGCGCATTGTGAAGGCGGCAGGGATCAATTTGGGGCGGCCTACAGCGACCCGGACGAAGAAGAGCCTCCAAAAGACGACTACTATTACACCTGTGGAGGACTTGGGTGAGCAGATGCGCCGCGGGGATGACAACCAGGGACAAGCTACGGGTCGCGCGCCCAGCGACCCTAGAGTTGACGGACAAAGGCAGTCGGCTGAGTCTACCGATGGTCCTACCAAACGGACAACAAAGACCAAGACCAAAACCAAGAAACGGAAGAACGCCATCGATGACTTGTTCAGTGGTCTATTATAAGTTCTATCAACCTGTCCTAACTCCAAGAGGGAAAAGCGGCGATTATCTATCGTAGATCCTGCGGCCCAAGGCAATTATTTGGATCGCAGATGAGCGAGCCCTGCTCCCCCCACTAAATTGATCGCAATATGGTTGACCGTGGCCCAGGCCATGGTATATAGGAATTTGGGGGAAAACACGGTCCAGATGAAGAGATGGGTTCGCAAGGCGGTGCAGGCGGCCATGACGGAGATCACCGACATGGCAACTTGAAAGGTCAGCAGCGCCGCGTGACCTTGCTGCGCAATCGGCGCCTCGTCCAGACGAAGAAGATGGCTGGCGGACACCCACCAGATTGGGCCAGCCCAATTGCCAATGAACGTCAGGACCCCAACGAGCAGCACGCTGTAGCTGCCGATGCCGTTATATGCATTCGAAAGGTCGACGGAAGAGATGGCATTTGAGCCGCCGGACGCAAAGAAGGTCATGTACTGCGCGATCACGGTCGTGGTGGTCACTTCAAGCTCAGTGAGGGCGAAGGAAGAGAGAAGAACGAGTTGGATACGGAAGACGAGAAACAGGGGGATATTGGCTGCTCGGGATTGAGTCATCAAGAGCAGCGAGAGCGCCTCGTGAAGTAGTTTGTTCGGAGCTCGTGCAGATCCTGTTCGATCTCGGCTGAAAAGCGCCGACAGGACCAGGCATGCCAGCCCCAAAAATACGAGTCGGGCGTGCAACACCAGCGACAAGCCGGTGGGATATGCCGCCACCACATGAGAGAGGAACGAATCCTCCAGCAGCTCGGGAGAGTCCGATGCGACAAAATTTAGCTTGAAACCCAAGGCCAGGACGATCAATACTATTGCGCCCAGGCGTGCCAGGATGGAGCGCGGCACACGCCACAGGAGATGGACACCCGAATCAGCATACGTGAGAATCACCAAGCTCCACAAAACATTGGGGTGCTGCGGGAAGAAGGTTCGAGCGATGTCCGGTTCGGCAGCGAATTTCTGTCCAGTTTGATTCCACCGTCTCAAAAACCGTTGGCAGAGAAGAAGTCCCGGCCCAACACACTGAGCCATGCAGGGTGACCATGCCCGGCATGACTTGGGCCGGATATGCAAATAGAAAATCCATCCGGAACATATCCAGTACCAGAATTGCTGTTCTTCCTCCACATAGCTGCTGGCAAACATCATTAGTCCGTAGCCCATGATAAGAAACACCAAGAAACCCCCCGCATGCTTCGAGCGCGCACACACGACATATGTGGTCGGAAGAACCAGCAGCGCAGCGACCGCCACGGTCAAGAGGCCGAGAGAGAGCCGGGAGACGTCGTAATTGCTGGCCGTGCTGCTCATCAGCTCCTGGGCAATCTTTAGGAACTGCATCAAAGCCGATTCGGTCACTGTATGCGAATCACTGGCATCTGTGTTACTCTGGAGCAGCTGCTGGGCTCGAGACCAAGCGCATTGCGCGCCTTGGATGCCCGAATCAGCCCCAGAGGAACACGTTGATGCGGTATCTTTGGCATCAAACGTGTAGCTGGGGAAGGTAGCCTTCACCGTGTTCAATAATTGCTTCGCATTTCGAGACAGGACGTCAAGCTTTTGAGATCCTGTTGCCAAGTCAATTTGGGCTGCCTCCGGTCGAGCTCGATGAATACATACCGTGATCCCACATTTCTAGAAGCTCGGGGATGAACACCCCCAGGTTATTCAAGGGGATCGGAAGCCCAAGAAGCCCTGCAAGCGTCGGGGTAATATCCGCTTGCTCGACCGTCCGGTAGTACTGTAGATCGGCGAATGCCTCCGTTGGGCTTTCAGCATGGGACTCCAGGGCTTTGAGCTTGGGCGAGATGAACAGCAACGCCGGTGATGTTTCGCCTGCCGATGATCCGCCGTGGTTTCCAGCGTCGTTCATGCCGTGGTCGCCACACAGGACGAACAACGTGGACTGAAGGTGCGGTTTATGCTGCATTGCTTCATAGATCTCGGTCACGATGGCGTCCATCTCATGCTGTTTCCCGAGCATAAAGGGGCTGGGACTCGGTCAGGACACCAGAAAGTTCCGGGTTAAAAGAGGGCCTACCTTCGGGGACCTGACTTGTGCCCGATATGATCCAGGCCCAAATAATGCATGATCAGAGCGGACCAGTCACTCTCTGCCAGCTCGCGGGGGACATGACGGGTCACATTATGGTCTACTTCGGTGAAATCCTGCAAGACTCAGCACGGATGTGGTGGCATTAGCTAAGGTACAACTGACCGACACGAAGAAGCTGGTTGTCCCATCGGCACGGTCGAACATGCCTGGAAAGAGCTTCAGCCAGGTATCATCTCCATACATGACCAGACGGTCCCCCCTCGCCTTCAACTGGGCCAGCCAGGTATCTTGGAATGCGAGCGTCGACGAGGTATCCGACTCGGCGATGTTGAGAATGACGTCGAGGAACGAGGGCACGGAGCCGGTGGTCATGGCCTTTAGACGGGGCATGGTGACTGTCGGTGAGCTTGCATGAGCTGTGAATGGCAGCGCAGCGCCAGATCGGATCAGGCTGTGGGGCGTCCGATTAATTCATCTGCCAGCTCTCCTTGAGGGGGATCGAAGGGAGCTACGCACCTCTGCGTAAACAAGAACCCGGAGTCATTGGCGTAGACAAAGTCACTGCCCGTCAAAATCAGCCCAAGGCTCTGCCTGATATTCATCCACGATACCTCCGCAATGCATCCACCACCATGAAAATGACCTTGTCAAATGGCGCTGCGGGAGGCGCATCGTCTTCCCACTTGGCTAGACCGGGCAATAGTGGCTTGTAGGGGAAGAAGCCGGAGGAGAAGGCGAGGAGGCCCAGGGGCACCAGGAGATTGGCGACCAGAGTGGCCCAGCGGCTGGGAAAGACCGCCATTGCTGTCAGTCGAGTCTCGAAAGGAGAAAAACAAACCTTGGGGGAGATGGATACATGCGCCACACCGCCTTCACGATCTACAAGAACCGTATACTAGGAACCGTATACTACATACAGTATGGTGGAATAGAATAATAATCATAGGCAGGTATTTGCAGCATGACATAAATAATAAGAATCCGAACGCCGAGTGCTGTTTTGGTGGGGTGGAAAGATCACTTCTTCTTCGAGCCCTTCTTGGACGAGTATTTCTGGAACACTATCGACGGTCGGGCGCGCCGGTTGCGCTTCTGCACACGCCCGGACTTGGACTTGCTTTTGGTATCCTTAGACGCGGTGTCAAGGTCCATCTCTGCGGGTTGTTGTTAGCCATTGGCAGGCACCAGAGGGGAGAGGTCATCCCACCTTCGCCATTCTGCGAGTCCTTGGTGGCGGCAGCCGCATCTTGATCTTCATCTGTGGTGAAAACAGACATTAGTGCATGTCCCATGAACGTCAAATGAGTGGACGAACCGTCTGCCTTCTCTCGTTCTGGCCGCGGCTGCGAGGCAATCTCTTGGAGTTTGGCCGCCAGCCTTTCCGTCCGGGCGTCGACGACGGGACCAAAGACCTTTTTGCGCAGCGCTGCCTTGTTGCGCTTGGAGACGCTGGCTCGGACACTCTTTGCCATAATAGATACGTTGTGGGTTGGGTGGTTGTCTGTCAAGGAAAAGAAAGTCCATCCGTCTTTTTTTTTCTCTCTCTCGATAGCGCCTTATGTCATCCACCCATCCATCCTCTTATCAATTGTTTGCTGGCGGCAACACTCATTTTCTTCCCCTGACTCTCTCTCCCTCATTCCCTGCCATGCCTGCGGGCCGCACTGTTTGTGGTCTGCCTGCCCTGGGTTCTTGACATTCCGGCCGTCATCATGGCCTCCTCCAGCCTGGCGCCGGAGATCTCCAGCCTCGTGCCTCTGATCAAAACGCTGACCAACCAGCACCTCAGAGACCTGTGCCGGAGTGAGGGCCTGGCAGTGTCTGGGGTGAAGGCTACATTACAGCTGCGTCTCATTGACTGTGTGTCCAACCCGCCCCGCTGACCCCCCATCCCCAGACAACGGATCCTAACAGCCCACACACCCTAGTTCTCGAACGGTGCTACAATGAAGAGGGCTTCTCAGTCCGTCTCGATGCCTTGCGAAGACGCATTCACAATATCGTCAGGCCCTCTGCAAGCTACTACCAGTACCATCCTCCTCCAACACCTCAACCGACATCGGCGCAGTCCCAAATGAGCATTCCCATGCTATCCCAGCCCTACAACCCGGGTCGCTTGCTCTTCAAGGAGAGCCCCTTCTACACAATCCTAGAACCGCTCACACAGGTAGTGGAATGCAAGATTCGCGAACAGACGCGGGATAGTGCCGAGCTCAAAGTGACCTTGTCTCAAGCCACTGCGTCCAGGCTGCAGATGGATCCCAATCTTCGGGTCATGGTGTTCTGTGCGGCGGACTCGGGCCTCAAACCGTACACCAAGTCCGAAATTGCATTTCCGCATCAGGTTGAGCTCAAGGCCAACCTCGATGAAGTCAAAGCCAACCTCCGAGGGCTGAAGAACAAACCCGGGACCACACAGCCGGCCGATGTCACCAATTACATTCGCAAGAAGCCCGGTTATCCGAATAACATCGTTATGACTTATGCATTGACACAAAAGGTAGGCAAGAGCCCTAGGGATATATGGCCGCGTACACGGTGGCTAATCAATGGTTGGGCAGAAATTTTTCGTGCTCGCAAATCTGGTGAAACAACATCCCGTTGAAGACTTAGTGGCCCAATTGAAGTCACGGAAGATTATATCAAAGGAACAGGTCATTCGTGAAAGTAAGCATTGTCCGTACACTGTGAGATTGGATAGGATTCTCAACAATGTTCAGTGAAAAACCGCGCCGAGGACGCGGATATTGTCACGACATCAACCGTCATGTCCCTGAAATGCCCACTATCGACTCTTCGAATTCAAGTCCCTTGCCGTTCTGTTGTTTGCACACACAATCAATGCTTCGATGCATCATCCTTTCTGGAATTACAGAAACAGGCACCGACCTGGACCTGCCCAGTCTGTTCCAAGTCGACCAGTTTTGAGTCCTTGCAGATGGATCAGTGAGTCTGATCCCAAACTTCTTTGAAGCACTGAACTAATTCTTCTAGGTACGTCGATGACATTCTGCGATCGACCTCGACGGATGTGGAACAAGTGGTCGTAGAGCCAGACGGTGTTTGGTCTGCTCCTGACGACACTGGCCCGATCCAGCTAGGCGGCGGAACTCCGGCATCCGATGACGACGACCTCATTGAGATCACCGAGCCTGGTGTTTCTGTGAAAAAGGAGCCTTCGACGGGGCCCAACATCTCACTGGAGTGGACTCCTGCCCAGTCGCGTGAGGTATCGACTCCGTCCTCCGCGGCGCGCATATCCATGTCGAATAAGAAACGTCCCGCGGCGGCAGTAATTGATCTCACAGGCAGTGATGACGACGATGAGTCTCCTGTACCACCACCCAAGCGAACCATGATGAATGTCCCGGTTCGGGCTTTGCCCCAACCGTCTCTGCCGCTCCCGACGGGCAGTCCGCTGAATGGAAGGCCTTATCCACCGTCGTATCCACCGTCGGTTTGATCTGTTTCCCTCTTACTTATTCCCCTAGATGATGCATATTTACACGGTGTTTGGGAGTGAGCGGACATCTACTGCATTCGGTCGCTGGGCTCATTATTCTCAGCGCAGGTAGCATGCAGTCTCAATGGCCATGAAATGATTTATTTATCTTAGCCAAAGTTATGATTATACCTATGTAGTAGCCTAAAACTCCCGTTATACATCATTGTAGTTGTAGCTGTTTTTACGACCAGTAATTAGTGAACTAACTAGAGGCTGACTGTTTCTCCGCAGACCCTCACTGCTTCCCTCGCCCAACACCATCCACACAACACCAACACAACAACCACCACCTCTTCCTCCATCCCTCCTTCCGATAATCCCACCCGCCCACACATAAAATGTCTCTCGACTCCACATCACCATTGGCCTCGGACCCGCAAGCCCGCGTTCTGAGCTCATCGTGCTTCGACTTCCTGCTCATCGAGCTGGTGCCGATGGCCGAGCGTATAGCCAAGGAGCTCGTGGCCGAAGAAAAAGACGCGGATGATGAAGAGGTTCGCGAGACGACCTTCTTCCGCCTGGAATCATTAGGCTATCGCGTTGGACAGGGCCTGGCGGAAAGGTGAGCCTGACGTAACACCCTCCCCTGGATGCCCCCCGGAGAGATGTGAATCGCACATCCTTTCAGCATTCTACATCGCAAGACGTCCCTAACAGTACCGCTCGCGCAGATTTTCCCGAGACCGTCCCCGCTTCACGGACAATTTGGATGTCATCAAGTTCCTCTGCAAGGACCTGTGGACGGTCTTGTTCCGAAAACAAGTGGATAATTTGAAAACAAACCATCGGGTACGAATGATCCGGGTGGGTGTTTGTTCTGCAGATGGGTGCTAATATTCAATGCGCGGAATAGGGGGTTTACGTTCTGACGGACAGCGCATTTCGACCTTTCGCCCGCATGAGCATGGCGGTGCGAGGCGATGCGATTTCCATGGCGCAAGCGGTAAGACATCTACACCAGAGAACCCAAAGACCGGGGCTTATGAATGGGATCTAGTACTTGTGGTTCCCCTGTGGGATTATCCGGGGCGCGCTGGCCAACCTAGGCATCAACACCACCGTGCAGGCGGAGACATCCGACCTGCCAGGTGCGACGTTTCAGATCAAAACCGTCCAGTCCCGACCATGATCGCTGGACTGCGGACCATGTTCAGGCGGGCCCGGGCGCAATGGCCATTCCCCTCCTAGTACACCCCTCCCGTCAAGAAGGGGCATCTACAGCCGCAGGAAGCGGAGAGCGGCTCTCTACACAGGCCCTGCGACGGCCGCTCACTCGTGGATTACGCCAACGACCAAAAACAGATCGGCCAGAGATCAGTAAGGAAATCTGAATTTCTGCGCTGTATGCATACTATCCGGCCAGTCTCCCCTTCTTGGCGGAACAACATCACTCACTGTCACTTTTCCGTTCGTCGTTCATAATCTCGTGGTCTTCACGCTTAAAGCCTATCTTTCCGGGATAACCATGATTAGCGAGGCTCTGCCAGGGGGGCCCGTCCAGCGAAACAAAAGTAATGTGCGACACAGGAAGGAGCCCAGCTTGGATGATGGGGGGAAAGCGTTTACTTTGGTGGGGGGTTCTTGATGAACTCGATGCCCTTCTCAATGTTGCCCTTCAGGCCCTTGATGCACGCTTCCAGGAGCGTCTTCTCCTTGTCGGTCACGCCGTCCAGGATGTTGATGGCCTTCTCGGCGCCGTTGGGCTGTCGGTCATGTCAGTTAGCCGTCATCCAAATATCAGGTCCAATAAAGAAACGTACGCCCAGTTCCACGGGGGTAGAGAAGAACTCCACACCGGTCGCCTTGGCGATCTCGTCGCCGCCGGCCACACCGGGGAGGTAGACGAAAGTCGGTTCGACGATGCCCTTCTCGCCCCTAGTGGCCTTAATCACGGCCTCGGCAAAGCTGTTTGCAATAGTCAGTAGCTGGTGACACGGCTGGGGGGAGGTCAAGGAACAAACCGGAAACCAGCCAGGGCCATGGAGAGGGTAGCAGAGCCGGCGCCATCCTTAGCCTTGACAACCTCATCACCACCGAACTGGACACCTGCAAGCGGTCAGTCGTTGGTGCGATTTGAAATCTTAATCGGTACATACGGTTGACCAGAGCATCGTAGCGGTCAGCGGGGATCTGGAAAGCGGGGGAGACCTTGCTGAACAGCGGGACGATGGTCTCGCCGGAGTGGCCGCCGATGACGGGCACGGTGGCCTTGGAGGGGTCTTTCTGGCCAGAGAACTCCTGGGTGAAGGTCTCGGCACGGACGACATCCAGGGTGGTCACACCGAACAGGCGCTTGGGGTCGAAGACACCAGCGGCCTTGAGCACCTCGGCGGCAATGGGGACGGTGGAGTTGACCGGGTTGGAAATAATCAGGGTGAAGGCCTTGGGGCAGAACTCGGCGATACCAGTGACCAGGTCGCGGACAATGGACGCGTTGACCTTGAACAGGTCGTCACGGGTCATACCGGGCTTGCCTGCATGTAAGAACACCTGGTGGTTAGCCGAGAGGCGCTGGCATAGAGGGGCAGCATGACACCGGGCGCGGGGCAAATTGGGCGAGACTGACGAGGAATACCGGCCGGGATGACAACGACATCAGCCCCGGTCAGGGCGTGCTTCAGACCATCATCCTTGGGCAGGTAGCCGGTGATTTTCTGTGTTCTGGGTGAGCGCCGATTCCCGGTGAAGTGTGGGGAGTAGGACGTACGGCCACGGAGGAGATGTGGGAGAGATCGGCGGCGACACCGGGGGTGTTGACCACATCGTACAGAGCGAGCTCATCGATGAGGGGGCACGTCTTCAGCAGCAGAGAGAGAGGCTGTGGAAGCATAAGTAAGTGGAGGGGCAATTTGGAGGGGGGTGCTGACCTGGCCAATGCCACCCGAGGCACCAAGAACGACTGTCAACACGAGGGTCAGCGATCAATTGACATCAGAAGATAAGAAAAAACATACCAGCCTTGACCATTTTGAATGATTAAGATCGAAGAACGAAGGGGAGAGTGAGAGAGTGGATGAAAGAGAAAGTGTTGGGAAAGAAGAGGAGGGGATTATGAGGGATCGAGGGGTAGTTAGTTCCAGGTCACCTGGTGTCCCCCGGATTCTTCTCGTGTTACTGTCGATTCCGTCGGGAAAAGGCGGACTGCCTCGACATCATCGGCCCGGGCGTGATCTCGGTACATGTGCTCCTATGGTTCTACTACTACGTACTACTGTCGGCTTTTTCCTACGGCAGATCATGGCTCTTGTGCGCCCCTCCGGGCACGGGCTTGCATTTTTGGTGTATAGTTAGGTAGAACCAGCAGCATCGCTAGCACTACGGCGGACAATTTTTGCGCCCTGGTCCCGACGTGTTGTGCATGTTCACATGAGCCCAATCACGTCCCTCGCTCGTCCACTCGTCAACAACACATTTACTCCTTGTTCTCCGCCGCGGCCCGGGCCTTGGCACCACGGACCTTGGGCGCGGGAGTCTCCTTCTTGGGCTTCTGCGAGCGACGGACGGCGCTCACACGGGCAACGGCCTCCTCGCGGAGGTCAGCACGGTAGCCGTTCTTAGCGGTCTTGCTGGCAACACCCTTGTAGATCCTGCGGACGGAGGGAACTCGGGTCAGTACGGGTCTCCAAACAGATCCTCTCCACGGACAACATACTTTCGGGTGGAGGTGTTAGGGCCGTAGGTCACAGCGACCTCGTTCTTGGCGGGCTGCTGGGGGTTGCCGGGCTTCTTGGAGATGACGGTGACACCGCCGTTCTCAGCGGGCTGGACACCGAGGGCCTGGGAGGTTGCACGTTAGGACTCGAACACGAATGCGCGCGGCTCGTAGAGCTGATGGCTCAAAGAGAGAGAAATACCTTGTTGTTAGTGTAGCCAGCATACTAGATAACACGAAAGTCAGCCATCAATTCATTGCATGCCGAAGGGTCCACCGGATATCGGCTACATACCTTGAACGAGTGCTTGTTCAGCAGGTTGAGGGGGTCGCGCGAGAGCTGCGAACCACCGCAGGTGTTGCGCCGAACCAGATAAGCATTCTGGTTGCCTGGATGTGAAAAAAGAAAGCGTTAACCGGGTTGAGTTCCAGGTCAAGGTCCTTTCCAAAATTGCCCATCGACAAAATTGGCAGAGACGGGGGACGACGTACGGGTGACCTGCCAGATCAGGTCGTTGGAGACGTTTGCTCTTTCGGTGGCCATTATTGTGTCGTTGAGGAGTATGATCGAGGGATTGAACCGAGTCGTGCTTGTAGCGAACGAAGATGGACTTGAATTGTGTTCTCGCTAAGCAGGCCCAATCGGGAATAGTGGTTGTTGCCTCAGGTGTGATTCATGCCTGGCTCCCAAGGTGTCAAAAGCAGGTGACGGGGGCCGCGCAATGTGACGCTGACGCTCCGTCGTGTCTGCTCTTTCATCCATGCCTGCCGGAATCGGGAGAGGCAGCTTGCTTCCTGCCCTGACTTAGTCCTCTCGTCAACGAAGGACCCCGTCGCGATAATCCCTCATTCCTTCCATCAAACTCCTTGCCTTCCGTGTCTGGCCATCCGAGCCGTCCGTCCATCACCATGTCCTACCATATCTTCTTCTTCCTTCTCTTCTCCGTCATTATCTGTGGCACGGGTAAGCTGGGCCCTCGGATCCTCGAAGAGTTTTGCTAATGCTCGTCTAGCCCTCTATCTCACTCGAGCACGATGGGTTCCTCTGCTCCCTGTTCCCGACTACATCTACCACCGCCTCCCCTCGAGCTTCACGGCAGATCTGGAAGCCGGCCTGAGCTCCTCGCAGTTTGATATTGGCGCCAACGTGACTGGCGGGGACTCACGAGCGGGCTTGGATGCGCGAGGAAAGCGTGAAGTCCAAAGGATCATGAAGAATCGCAAAGTCGACTTTGACGAAGCCCGCCGCATCTATACCGAGCAGCGATTTGCAAAGAACAATATCGGGCCTGACGGCCGGCCCCGGGACCCGAAGTTTGTGTCTTTCTCTTGATTGCTTTTATTTTCTATCCACTCATTCAGCGTTTTTCCTTATTGCCTTGCTCTAGAAGCCTGTTCCTTGTTTATTCTTCTTGCGTCATACAGCGCTAGGGGCTTCTGTCTTTTCTCGGGGGTCTTTGCATATCCGTCTACAACGCGATTCCCTTTGGCATTGTCTCATCCTATTTTTCTTTCATAAGAATTGGAATTAATTTGTCCACCGAGCTTCGATTTTGCTATCGACGGCGAGTGTCAGAAACAGTACGGCTGGTCGTGTTTGTAGAACCAGCGCAGGAATCTCTAGTAATACAGGACCACGGGCTGCCAGCAGTTGTCCGGCCTGCCCATGGACGCCTCTTGACTCTCTCCCGCTTTGCTCCCAAGCCATAAGAATAATGCGTTCGAAACAGTGAAACGCGGCTCCAACCCTTGAATCGTCAAATCGTATCAGAGAATCATGTCCCTCGGCACGAGGGTTTAGTTTACCAAGATCACCGTCCCCGTCCATATCCCGGTTGCTGAAACCCGGGAGGCAATGCGGGAGGAGCACCGGGGGCACCACCAGGGGGCCCGAACCCGGGAGGAGGTGCAAACCCAGGAGGCGGGGCCTGCGGTGGGAAAGGTGCTTGTTGCCCAGCACCGTTGTTGAATCCTTGCGGGACGAAGGACTGCGGGCCACCATAGCCAGCCTGAGATGGTGGAGGCCGGGCTGGAAGACCCGGAGGCGGAGTGGCCAAGGATGGGCCCGGTGGAGGTGCAGGGCGATTGGACTGTGGAGGCGGGACATTCTGGTAGCTCGCGGCGGGAGGTATCCCTCTGAGATCGGGTGTTTGAGGTGGCCCAGCGCCGAGTGGGTGAGCGCTGTCTCCGTTCGCCATCACCGGCGCCGGAGGAGCCCCGAACTGGGGAGGTGGCACCTGCTGAGTGGGAGGGCGGACATTGTGTTTGCGAGCCTGCGACGCCAGCATGCGCTCGGCCTCATCACCATGCCTCTCGCCCTTGCCATCCTTCTTGTATGCGTATTGAACCGAGCACTGCTTGTTCATCAGGTACTGGCCATTCATATTGGCAATGGCCATGTCGGAGGATTCGAAGTCGGCGAAGGATACGAAGCCATAGCCCTTGGACAGGTTGTTGTCGTCGCGCGCGATCTTGGGGAGGTTAAGCAGATTGCCAAAGCGGCTAAAGGTGTCATAGAGCACCTGCTCCGAGACCATGGGGTCGAGGTTGCCCACGAAGAGCTCTGCCCCAATCTCCACGGACTTCTGCTTGTCGGCCGAGGCTTTGTTCACACGGATGGGTTTGCCGTAGAGCCGGATGCCGTTCATAATGCGCGAGGCGTACTCCGCATCCTCCTCGCTGATGAATTCCACAAAGCCATAGCCTTGGTGTAATTGCGTGACGCGATCTTTGGGCAGATGGACGTTAACGATGCGCCCAGCCTGCAGCATCAGCTCCCATACCAGGCTGTCTGATACCCGCTCGTCGAGATTTCCTATGTACACCGTGGCCTCCTTGTCTTGCTCCCTGTCGTCTGGTTAGCTTGTGGGCCAAGGAAGCTAGCTACCGAGGAAAGGGCATACCAATGCCTTGCGCCCGACATGGCGCCGAGTCAATGATAAAAAAAAACCGATCCGGAGGAGAGGGAAAAGTAGAGAGAAGGGAATAAGAATATGCGATGCGCCAAGCCGAGGTGGTGGTTGGATCTTCGTTGTATTTAGTTGAAGGTAGTGTGACTGACTGAGCAGAGAGGTTTTCCGCAAAACTTTTGGACTGACCGCCATCGCCCTGCAACTTCCCAACTTCGCCCGACAAGTTAATTACCTTCTTACTCAACATCCCTCCCACGCACCCTCCATCTCTCTCTACCGATCTCTCCTTTCCTATATCACCGCAAATATGGTCCAGTTCTCCGAGGAAACCAAGGTTAGCCGCCATCTTCACTCCCTCAAGGTTCAACCAGACCAGCCCGGCTTACACTCTTTCCTTCTTCCAGGAGCGCGTCTCCAAGATCATCGACGTCTCCCGGGTCGCCATTCATTAGTGAGCTTCGCATACGATATCCCATTTTAAACGGCCTTCAGACTGACGGATCGTGACTTCACAGCGGTTACTTGCCTCTGATCGTCTATCTGGGTATGGACAGGGAGAAACTGCTACATCGGGGCCTCTCGCTGACAGACGACAACAGGTTACACGTACAGCGAGCCCAAGCCATCTCTGTTCAAGTAAGACCAGCCCTTCCGAGATCCAGCGTGGCTGCTGACCCGATGCTCAGGTTGTTCTCGCCCCTCGCCTAAATCTTCATACCGAAAAGGACTGGCCATGTCGATGAGTGGAGGATTTAGGACCTCGAGTCCACATCGGCCATGTTGGCTACTTCATCTTGTGTATTTTTATCTGTCTTCAGAAACTGTTATAGATCCATGAACCTCCCTTCCCATGTGTCGGACTGGCACGACCTTTCCAACCTGCGCGCAACCACCCCCGGCAAATAAAGACCGGTAGATAGAATGTCCAGTAGACAATCAATTGTAGCTATTGCTTGTTTTCCAAGATCAATGGCAGTCAGTCAGTTATGGCACCATTTCGTGCCTGGCCCTTCGTCGCATCCGATCTTCGCCGCCAACCGCGACCGCATTTCCACCTCTTCCACTTCTCTTCCTTCCACCCGTCTCCCCCAAGCTCCTCCCTGGGAAATCCCCCAACCAACAGAGCAGTTCATGCCTAGCCAGGATGGCCTGTCGCCATCCTTTGTGGAGACCGTAGCAGGATTCACGGCGGGAATCGTCTCGACTCTCTGCTTGCATCCGCTCGACCTGGTCAAGACCAGACTCCAGGGTAAGTGCCCTCGCATCCTCCTGTCTGAGCACTCGACCTGACACCTTTCCCACTCAAACACAGTCGATCGCACCACCTCCTCCTCTCGACTGGGCAGCTCGTTCCGTATCATTCGCGAGATCTCCCGCCATGAGGGCGGTCTCACTGCCTTCTACCGCGGCCTAGCCCCGAACATCATTGGCAACTCCACGAGTTGGGGCCTGTACTTCCTGTGTTACAGCAGCCTGAAAGATGCACTTCGAACATGTCGTGGACAGAGAGAGCAGATGCTGACGTCGTCTGACTATTTTCTTGCATCGGGGACTGCAGGTATGCATGGCTACCGCGCAATCTGACTCCAACCAGCTAACGAACGACCCGTGCAACCCAGGCGTCTTCACCGCGGTCCTCACAAATCCCATATGGGTGATCAAGACCCGCATGCTATCGACTGGCTCACAGGTGCCCGGTGCCTATTCCTCGTTCTCGTCGGGAGCCAAGCAAATCTATCATACGGAGGGTGTGTCGGGTTTCTACCGGGGTCTCCTACCAGCTCTCTTCGGTGTCAGCCATGGTGCTCTCCAGTTCATGGCATACGAGCAACTCAAGGTCCATCGGGCCGGGTTAGCGGACCCTCACAGCCCCGTGAAAGATGGCGAGACCGGACCAAATCGGGAACTCGGGAATGTCGATTTCTTCGTCATTTCCAGTTTGTCCAAAGTGTTCGCCGGCTGTGTGACATACCCGTACCAGGTCATCAGGTCGCGGTTACAGACATATGACGCCCATCTGGTTTATCGGGGCGCGATCGATGCCATCGCGCAGATCTGGGCTCGGGAAGGTATTGCGGGTTTCTACAAGGGGCTTGGTCCCAACCTAGTCCGGGTGTTGCCCAGCACCTGGGTTACGTTCTTGGTGTACGAGAACACCAAGGCCTACTTGCCACGGCTGGCGGCGAAAGTATAGAGCGTGTCTCTCTGAACCTTTCCCGAGAATCAATGTCGCATTCCATTATCCGTTACAATTTTGGCGCAGGGCTCACGCCACCTAGAATACAGTCATCATACCCTCATCGACTCATATACATCTTGGAGGCCTTTCGCCTGACTGGCTGAGAGACGCAGACCCATGTAAATCTGTTCATGCACCTTGTCGATCCATAAAGTAGGGCGTAGGATCATCGCCATCGCTACTAGACCCCGCCGTGTACATGGACAACTGGTCCTCGTAACTGCCTCGGCGGCTTTTGGCATCCTCATCGGACTCGAGGGACGGCATTCGATCCCTCGATTCGGAAGACTGGTTGGATCTCTTGGTGGTCGAGATTCTTCGGTCTTTGCCCCGGCCCTTGATGCCCTTGTTGCTGTTCTTGTACAACCTGTTGAAATATTCCCACATCTTTTGCTCTTCAGGGTTTGTGGGTCCGCTGTCTCCCATTTGTGAGAATCGCATGGTCCAATTTCGGAGGGTGGTGGCATGGAATTTGTTTTGATGGGACTAGAAACAGAAATAGAATATAGTCAGCGACCATCATCGCCCGGTCTTTCGGACGAAACTGACCTTCAGGTTGCCTAGCTGAGTAAATTGCTTGCCGCAGTCATCCAAGACGCAGGTGAAGGGCTTGGCGTGCTCGTGAGTGACCTTGTGGGCTCGGACATTCCCTCGTTGGGCAAATCTCTTGTGACAGATTTCACAGAAGTAGGGTTTCTCGCCCGTATGTCGCCGTTGATGCGTCTAAAGCGCGGTTACATGTCAGCCTTGTTTCCCCCTAATCCTCCAGCAAGGCTTACTTTGAGGTTGCCGAGTTGCGAGAAGCGCTGCCCGCACGAGGGCTCCTTGCAGATCTGTCCCACTGTCAGTCCGCCGATCCACGTTGTGCTCTCCAGAAAACTCACGAATGGCTTGTCACCCGTGTGAGCCCGCGTGTGGATCTCCAGATGTGTCTTCTGCGCAAAACTCTTCCCGCAGTTGGGGAGAGTGCAGGTATACTTGCGCTTCTTGCTTCCTGACCCTTCATAAGGCAAATAGCGGGGTGGCGCTGTGGAGGGCATTGGATATACTGCCGCATATCCATGCATGACCGGCGGGGGCAGGTTCGGAAGAGGAGGCAGCGACTGATGTGACGGTGCTGGTGGCCCTTGGCACTGGATGGCCTTCATCAGGATGTCAATCCCGGTCGAGAACCCGGCGTGGGAGGCAGGTCGTCCATTGTCCTGTGCTGCTGCCCCTTCAGCAGATGCATCTTTGCCATGGTGGCCAGGGCTGGATAGACCGGAGGCCTGTGGTCCTGGGAGGGACTCCGGGCTGGTCTTCGCGATGTGGTTGATGGCATTCTTTGCCGGCCGAATCTCTGGTAGAGATGGCAACGCCTGCGACTGTGAAGACAGACGCAACGGTTGGGGGTTTATCGGCTGCTGCCCCGGCACAAAATACGTGTGGTACGGGTCAGAATGCTGGTGATGGCCGAGGGAATGGCCGAAGCTGTAGGCGGCATGGCTGGGTGCCTGGTATGGCAACGAGTAGGGCGCCGTTGGGTGCGAATAGAAGGGGAAGTTGTGGCCCAATGACGAGTCCATGGGACGCCGGTTGGCAAAGGCGCCCACGACATGGCCCGGATACTCGAAAGACACAGGCTCGGAGGGCTCCATCGCCTTGACAACAACAGCCCTGCGGAACTCTCCACTAGCTGAGACACACCTAGCACCACGCTCACGCCTCGTTGTGTACGCAGTACCAATGGGTACCCGATGGAATGGGTGGACTTTTTTCTTCTGTTAGGCGTTGCTCTTGATGTCCTCGAGATTTGGGTTCTGGCTGGTGTGAAGAACCACTTGCTTTTCCGGGTTGAACAGGAGGAAGAAGCAAGAATATAGAAGAAATAGACAACCTGGCCGGCCAGAGCACAATCGATCCAGCTCGGGTAGGCCTCCGAAGTGGAGGGATCTATATAAATATACGAGGGCCGCGACAACGGGACCACAATCCACCAAAAGGAAAAATCAAACAGGAGCATGCACGCAAGAATAATAATGAGGTGCCAAAGAAGGATGATTGACGGCTAATGGTGATCATCCGCAGTGCATCTTTGAATTCGAGATATACGATTATTTGCCTCAGTGCCCGATGCCGTGGAAGCAGCGGGGCCAGCAGGGATGCAGCCTGCTTGTTTTTGGCGCAGCTGAGTCGAAGCAGAAAAAAAAAGAAAAGAAAAAGAAAGCATGCCTGCGTCCCTTGGCCATGGCGTTCCGAGGACTGGGGGGAGTGGGTTGGTAAATAATCGGGCGCCTGGCCCGGGACCCCAGAGCCATCACAGTGGATCAGGAATCGATCATGGGAGTGACGAGCTCCACTACCCGATTTTCCACGAACTGGAGTTCCTCCCAAGGTGAGGGAACGTACAGATCGCCCGCAGGCATCTGAGATCGTGGCTGGCTGCCCCGTGGAGCAGCGAGACCGACTCCTCGCGACTTCTTGGTCCTGTGCAACATTTCTCTGTTGCACGAGAGGCGTGCAATCGTGTTCTGCTTCCAGGGAACTAGCGGTATTCCTGTTCGGTTTCGAGAGGGGGGGCGAGCGCAGTTGAACCAAACAATAATAAATCCTGACAGCCGCGACTGGCGACAGCCAGCTGAACCCGCTCTGATGTTTCAGTGCTAACCCTAAGCCAGTAACTCGTGCCAGAGTTGGTTAGTCAGTCTGCCTCCCTCAGCAAGCAACAACATAAATAATACGGATTTGCCATCCCAGGAGACTGACCCTGACATCTGTCATGCCCGACCAGAAACCCCAAAAAAAGAAAAAGCAGACGGGCCGGGCCTTGGGGCTTCTGTGATCAGTCCAGTCCAGCCCAGGGGCCATGATTGCCAAGCGGACCGAGTGGAGGGATCGACCTGCAGGCGATCTATCCATTCAATAATTAATTCGTTAGCCGCTGTACTCGCTCTAGTGAAGCACGTAAGCTCTAACTCATTAGGGGTCAGTCAGTCTACAGTGGGAAAGCCGGAAAGGGTAGGTATGGACATCAATCAACATTGGTCAAGGTCAAAGAACAACAACAACAACAACAACAGTAGAAACAATTCGAAACCCCAAGCCAAACCAAAACCGGCTGCGACACAGGAAACAGAAAAGAAACACACACATGCGCCGAGGCATCCCAGTATCAACCCGTTTACCGTCCAGTGTAGGAAGAATATCTGGTGGAGGATCATGTTAGCCACTGCATCAAGAATGCGGCTAATTGCAACAGGGGAAAAAAAAAATAAAAACTCACCTCCAGATCCGGGCGCGCATGTCGCCGCTGCCAGTTGCGAACAGGTTGTTCGTGGGGCTGGGCGCAACCGAAATAACTGTCAAGGTTAGCACCAATCCGGGTCGGAGTGGCTGCGAAAAGACTCACCGGAGTTCTTGTGGCCCTGCAGCATCATCTGGGCGTTCCCGGTCATCGGATCCCAGAACTGGACCCCCCGGTCCTTTGAGCCACTCATGACCCACTGGCCGTCCGGCGTCAGACACACACTGAGCACAAAGTCCTGTCCAGTATCGTCAGCGCAGTTAGAGAAAGAAAGGGAGGCGGAAAAGAAAGCGAACCTTGTGGCCTTCGAAGGTCCGCAGGCACTTGCCGCCCTTGGAGCCGCCGTGATGGACGTTGCGCGGGACATTGAGCTCCCAGAGCTTGATTGTCTTGTCCAGGCTGCCACTGACCAGATCGCGGCCATTGGGGGCGAACGCGACCGAGTACACGCTGTCCTTGTGGCCATCCGGGTTCTCCAGACGCTCCACCAAGTAGCCAGTTGTGGTGTCCCACACGCGCACACTCTTGTCCAACGAACCGGCCGCCACGTAGTGACCGTCGGGAGACATCGCCACCGTGGTGACGCCATCCTCAATGCTGAGGGTGTAGACGAGCTTGCCGTCGAGAATGTCCCACAGGCGCACCGTTTTGTCCCCACTACCAGAGGCGATGTAGCGGCCGTTGCCGGCGAAGTCAAGAGAGTAGATATCTTGCTCGTGACCAGTGAAGATGTGCTTGATGGTGCGTGCAGCGATATCCCAAACCTAAATTTGTATGTGTCATTAGCAATCTGTATACAACTTGGTTTCTTGTTTTGCGGGTGCCTTACCCGGATCTGCTTGTCCTCGGCGCCGGTCGCGAGGTACTTCCCGTCTGGACTGAAGCAGACGCTGCGAATGTAAAGGTCGCCATCCTTGTCGACGTTCTCATCTTGGAGCGTGGCCACATTCTGGCCGGTGCTCACGTCGAAGATCTGCGCCGAGCGATTGCAGCCCGTCGCCAGATACTTGCCATCGCGACTGAACCGAACGCAGCACACGACGCTATCGTGAACCAGGTGATGCACCAACTCCACGTCGAGCACGCGCGGCACTTCGGGGTTGAACACGGCAAACCAATCGGCACCCTCACGCTTCTGATTCGGAGGCAGATCATCGAGGTTCCAGTTCGCCAGCATGTTACCGGGCCGCTCGCGCACTAGAGACTGACCCGGAGGCGTCGGGCGGGCAATCTGCGGCGAGGCACGAGGGTCGGGATAGGCAAGTTGGTGCGTCTGCTGGGGGGTTGCCGGGCCCGGGGGCGCGCGGCCGCGACCCTTACCCGGGCCGGGGGATGCAGTGGGCGGAGGTGGAGGTCCATAGCCTACAGAAAATTCACCGCACATGTTAGCAACTCGAAGATGAACCTAAAATAACCACAACATACCATTCACAGCAGGGCCAGGTTGATAACCCCCAAAAGAGCTCTGCGAATGCTGCGGCGCACCAGGCTGGGCAGCTGGGGCAGGCTGTTGAAGGGTATGCTGGGGAGGCCGCTGCTGATCCTGGGAGTGGGGAGGGGCAAGACCGGGACCACTACCTCCTTGGTTGGCCATGATGCCACCGAACAAGTTGCTGGGACCATGGCCCAGAGCAGGTGGGGGAGCCTGAGCAGGACCCGTGTGCTGCGCCGAAGCGCCCATGTGCGAAGGGATGGGTTGGACACCGCGCGACTCGAGTTCATGTCGCAACAGTCGGATTTCACTCTCGTAGCTAGTGGCAGGAGAGGGACACTCGTTAGCGATGAAGAAAGGGAAGGAAAGGGGACACTCACTCCTGTTTCATCTTAATCTGCGCCTGCTCCAGCTGGTAGACCTTCTGACGGATCATCTCCATTTCCTGGAGCTGTCCCGTCACTGCGTGATCTGTCAGTTAGATAAACAATTCAGCGAAGGTCGTGACCCATGAGCGGTATCCATCAACAAAAAGACTGGCGCTCGATTTGAAAATGGTATGGAAGCTCCACAAGGCGACTGTGCAGAGTGGAAGAGAAGGTGTATGAATGAAAGAAGGACACTCACACTGATGCTCAAACTCACCAGTGTTCCGCGACTGGCTCTCAAACTCCTGGCGCAGCTGGTCCAGCAACTCCGTCAGGCGGGAGTTGGGGGCGGGCACCATCCCGCGATGAGTGTTGTACATGGTGCAATGGAGGGGCGATAGTCGCCTGTTAGTAGAGAAGGGAGTGAAATAAAGATCTGAAGTGCGGTCCGGATCAGCGACAGCTCACCACCGACGTGGGTCGCGAAGAAAAGGGCTGAGGGTCAAAGGAGGAAGACCCGCGATCACTCAGACGCCAATTTTGCCTGGTGGATTGCACCACGCAACCAGCGACAGCGACAATAGGAAGAGATGGAGCGCGATGGGAGAGGATGGAAATGGGGATGGGTGTGGTGGGAGGGAAGAGGAGAGGGGGGGGGCGGAAGAGAGGCTGGAAGTGACAGTGACAGTGACAAGTACTCTGGGAAGTTTGGGTCGTTGGGGGCAGAATTGGCGGCTGAGTTGGCGCGACTAGCGAGCCTAGGCGAGCAGGCGCATGGGGGGAATCCTTAACTTACCGAACCGGAATGGACACTGATAAAGGGGGGCGAAGTGAAGAGCCGGCCGAGCGAGATGGGGGCCTGTATCACCGTTTGCAGCGGAGACCAGAGACCCCAATGCTGAATTGATAAGGGAGGAGGAGTGTGGAGAGAGAGAGAGAGAGGAGAGAAAGAAAGGATGGGAGGATCAGGTCGTATACGGTATGTAGTAGTTAGAAGAGAGAGAGAGGGAGGGAAAGAGCAGAGAAATTCGATGACCGTACGGTATTACACATCCGGGAAGGCTGAAGGGTACCCGGGAAGTACTTGTAGCTGCACGCAGCATGGGCAGGCGGGCAGGTACCATGCAAGTCTCGAACCGTTACTACAGTAATGCCGGCCCATCCCGTGGACCGGCCAGCCACATTGGCTGCCTGGGGATTATGGTATTCAGGCAACAAGGCATCCTGCCTGGGGATTATGGTATTCAGGCAACAAGGCATCCCTACCGACCCAAAAGCATCCAACCCAACACAGATGGACGGATAGGCATTTAGATCTCCTTCATCTTCAAATAGATGCTCACTAATCACAATCTATTAGTTATTCCACCACTGGCAATTTCCATTCCCTAGGATCTCCAATAGGATCCTTCAGACGGTGCATGGTTGCTTACCTCATCCCCTCCCCCCGGCATGGCTCGTTCCGCGCTGGTGTGACTGCGGGATCAATTTATTATTCGCCGCCGGGTCTCCTTTCTTCTCCCTCCCACCTACAACTTTTTCTTCCACCCTCCCCCCAGCCCAGCCAACATGGATATTGTCCTCGAAATCTGGGACACCTTCATTGGTGATCGCCTCTATTCGACTCTGTTGCCGGCCTCGCTCTCCTCGTCCATCTCGCTTCCTGCCTTTGCCAATGCCGCCAACAGCTCGCTCGCCCTGTTTGGCGCCTCCGAGCCCTTTGTCTATGAACCGGCCACACAACTCATTCACCTCGAGCCGTCGAAATATGCCTATCTCAGCGCATGGCCGCGGAATAATGCCTACCGCCAGTTCACCAGCTTCTTCCTAATCACTTGGTATGCAGTGGCGCGCGTCTCAACTATTTTGTTTTCTGGGTACTGACCGGTTTGTGATCCTAGGATATTTGGATTGCTGGTATACTTCGGGGTTGCGTCGCTGTCGTACCTCTTCGTATGGGACAAGGAGACCCCCAAACATCCCAAGTTCCTCAAGAACCAGATTTCCATGGAGATCAAGCAGGCCATGTCCGCCATGCCCCCGATGGCGCTGCTGACCGCGCCCTTCTTTCTCCTGGAAGTCCGCGGGTACGCCAAGCTCTATGACACCGTCGCAGATGAGCCGTTCCCTTTCTACAGCATCCTGCAATTTCCATTCTTCATCTGCTTCACCGATTTCTTCATCTACTGGATTCACCGGGGTCTGCACCACCCCGCCGTCTACAAGACCCTGCACAAGCCTCACCACAAGTGGATAATGCCCAGCCCATTTGCGTCTCATGCGTTCCACCCCTTGGACGGTTGGTCCCAGAGCATCCCTTACCACGTTTTCCCGTTTCTCTTCCCGCTGCAGAAGCTGGCCTACGTCTTCCTGTTCGGCTTTATCAACCTCTGGACCGTCTTCATTCATGACGGAGAGTATGTGTCCAACAGTCCGGTCGTGAACGGCGCCGCCTGCCACACGATGCACCACCTGTACTTCAACTACAACTACGGCCAGTTCACCACGCTGTGGGATCGCATGGGTGGCAGCTACCGCAAGCCCAATGAAGAGCTCTTCCGACGTGAGACCAAGATGGGCCAGCAGGAATGGCAGCGGCAGTCCAAGGAGATGGAATCCATCCTCAAGGAAGTCGAGGGCGATGATGACCGCAGTTACCTGACTTCGGCCGCGGCGAAGAAAACGATGTGATGTTCTCTATCTCTTTGGGAACGTTGACGACACTTTCGCCTTTTCTGGACAGGATGAATGTACACCCGGAATGAGTTGTTTATGAGTTCTACGTTCCCGCTCCCTTGTTTTTCTTTTTCCTCCCCCCTGGCCCCGGGCACTTTGTCCCGATTCGAGTACATTAATTCGCCCCGTGCATATATTATATTGTAATATTCCCCCAAAACGGACCCCGAGCACGGTGTGGCCCGCCGGCGGTCTACCTGTCTTTGTACATAACGTTGGTGTTGACCAGAATAAAGTGGAATTGATCTAAATATATTCGTGTACGACCTGCAATCTCTAGCGGGCATTTCACAACTTCTCATCGGTCTTCCGGCCCTGTTGCGGCAGAAACCAGTCCATGTACTTGCGCTGCATTCCAGGTGTGACGCCGGTGACAGGATTGGCCGGTTCTTTGCCGCCCTGGAGGAATTGCGCCACTGCGTCCTTTGCATGCGCTTCGACGTCGTATCCATAGACGTCCAGCACCGTCTGGGGATCTACATAGAGGTTACTGCTGCGTATGAATTGTTTCCCTTTGATTTCCGGCTCCATCGCCTTATCGCGCGCCTCTTGCAGCGGACCGTCTGGCAACATCCAGATGGCTCCATTGAGGAAAGACACCTGCTGTTTGGCATATGCTTTGGGCATGCGCTCCGTTTCATAGATGTGGACGGCTTCGCGCAGGCTAAGCTTACCCTGCACAACTCCCTCGATGCACTTGGCCAGGAACGCCCCGTCTTCCATCGAGGTGGCTGCTCCCTGTGCCATATGGTTGACCATGGAATGTGCCGCGTCGCCCATCAGCACGACGTTCTTCTGGGGCGAGGACCACGAGTCCAACGGCCCGGTGACCATCAACGGCCAGCGGCTCTAAACCAGCTCCATCAGCGAGTGTTCTATTCCGAAGGAAGGGCGCTTACCGTCTCGGGAATCATATCGACGATACGCTTGATCCGCGGATCGTAGTCCGCATACGCCGCTCGCATTTCCTCAATGGGCACGTCTGGTTCTGTCGCGCGCAGTTTCTCAGGGCGATGATGAGAAAGCACCAAATTGAACACGTTGCCCGCAGAGATCGGATAGGTGATGATGTATGAGTTTTCCGCCATCCAGACCTCCATGGTCAGCTTCTGGATGAGCTCGCTGGCAACGGGATCCTGGCGAATGCGCTCATATGGGACCACTGCGCGGTAGGCGCAGTTGGTCGTTGGTGGCTCTGGGCTCACATCGGGGAAGAGAACTTTGCGCACGATACTGTTGATGCCGTCGGCGCCGATACAGAGGTCGACCGTGTACTTGGTCCCCTGATGCGTCGTTACCACCACCTGATTCGCTTGATGGTTAATCTGCTCGACGCGCGAGTTGATTTGGATAATAGCCCCCAGCTGCTTGGCCACCGTCGCCAGGCCTGCATGGAGATGTGCACGATGGACCACCCACCACGGTCGTCCCAGGTCCCTCTCCACCGTGGCAATCTTGGTGTATCCGACGGGGGTTCCGTCTCTGCGTCGCATATTCAGCTCCTCGAACTGCACGAGGTCCTCCCCGATCACCTTGTCGACACCCCATCGTTGCAGCAGCACCGAGACATTGGGTGTCATCTGGATCCCGGCTCCAATCTAGGTATTCGACTCAGCAGACTGTCCGTTTCGAAGGGCAGGCCGTACATACCTCGCCTAGTTGTTCGGCTGCCTCCAATACCGTTACCTCTGCCCCGGCGCGACGTATGGCAATGGCTGCTGCTAGGCCACCAATGCCAGCACCGACGATACACACATGCACTCGGCGGGAAGTCTATGTCCGACAGGTCAGCGTCGGGTGCCGGTATGCGCTCGGTGGTGCTTACCATGACTCGTCAGTTCAACTCGATGATTTAGTAGTATAATGCAGACGACGAGTGTGCATTGTAGGTTACTTATAAAATTGCCACACTTACTCATGTCCTGTATTCAAAGGAGATGACCGGGGACTTCGGGAACTGCCATACTTGGACCGGGGAAATCGGGCCACAGAGGAAAGAATTGTGGGGTGGAAAAAGCTTAACCACACTACTCTGGGGTTGACAAAGTATGGGTCTGAGGCTTGAAGAAGATGATCATTACTACTGGGAGTGGGGCGCGTTCTCTGCGGATTTTAAAAGAATGGCTTGCTCTTGGGTTGAGAACCTTAGTAAACACGAGTCCAAAGATGCCATTGCAAATATGTACCGTGGTGCAATAACGGACCTAGGCGGCATGGGTCGCAAGAGAAACCCTAATTGACAACCACGTGTCCCCCTGCCCTTCCATGATATTGTTTTCCTATCCCATCGTGCTCCTGAATTGACTAGAATCGCACCCGGCAAGCGATCCCCGCCGGGGTGACGGCAGGCTCGCTTCTCTCATAGGGCGCCCGGCGGAATAGCGTGGGTACTAGCGGGGGATTGACGATCTCCACAACGTCGAAAGCCCCAAACCCCCGACGTCCCCGGGTCTGCGCAGCTCCTGTATCTCCCCGTCACCCTGTTCGCCATGACTGGGTCTTCTGAGCCACCGCAAAAGCGTCGGCGCTCGGCGTTAGCCTGTAATTCGTGTCGCCATCGGAAATCACGAGTGGGTGTCCTCGAATCCCGGCAGGAGACAGGGCTCGGGCTGACCGCGTGCAGTGTAATGGAGGCCGCCCCTGCGCCCAGTGCAAGGAACTGGGCTGCGAGTGCAAATACCAAGATGTGGGAGTCTCGTCTAATCTGACTGTTGAGAAAAGGTATCTCTCCCCTGTCCGATGTATCTGGATCCGGTGTCGGTGATTCTCATTCGGCGCTATAGTTACTTTGCTCGCTTGGAGAACCGCATTCAGGAGATCGAAGCCTCTATCCGAAGGCTGGAGAAAAATCAAACCTCTGCCAATGTTAATGGATCGGAGGGCCGCGCCGAATCGTTGCGGCCCGGAGCCAGCACTCTAGACCAGAATATAGAGCCGCCCGCCGTCAAGCCTAATCTTCCTTCCAACACCCAAGATCGAACCGAGTTTGGGGAGGTCGACATGTCGGAGAACCCTATTGATGGAATGGGTGCTATAAACTTCACTGACGAGGAGGATTGCGGGTTCTTTGGTATCTCTCGTGATGCGAGTATGCAGAAGTGACCGCCACTGACTGGTTATTCCTAGGCCCGTCTTCAAACATTGCCTTTATGCGTCACATCTCTCGTGCTATTGCTCGAGTAAACGTACACGGCTCACCTTTATTGTCCAATTCGCCCCCCATCCAGACCGGGGGAGGGATGATCAACATCTCCTGGTCTCGGCCCGACAACGACGCTAAAGGTCAAATGCAGACGCCGAAGAACGAAGTCAACATTTTTGCGTTGCCACCAGAGGAGCGCACTTGGAGCCTGATCCAAAAGTATTTCGAGAAGACGGGCCAGCTGCTCCCGTTCATTCACGAAGCGTCGTTTTGTGAGACCTACTTCCAGATGAGACAGGATAATTTCAAAAGAGTCCGCCGGACATGGCTGGGTCTTCTCAATATTGTGCTGGCGATCGCAACGAGTCTTTACACTGAGGGTGACATGCCCGCCGAGAAACGCATCCAGGAATCTGACATTTATTTCCAAAGAGCCAACGGTCTATGTGACCGCGACTCTAAACGGAATGCAAGTTTGGAGATGGGTAAGCAACATTCAAGATTGCAGGCTGCGCAGCTGACTCGGTTCTAGTTCAATATCTGTTGATTCTCGGCCAATATCTTCAAGGAACTCAGAAATCAGTCCAGGCATGGACAACCCATGGACTTGCTATCTCGGCTGCTTTCCAGCTTGGTCTACACTCCCCAGAAGCCAACCGGCGCTTCTCGCCGTTGGAAAGCGAAATCCGCAAGCGGACTTGGTATGGATGTATTCTTCTGGACAGGTAAGGAGAAATTTTCAATGCTTTCACGTCGACCGCCTGCTAACACCCCTAGAACGCTGAGCATGACATTTGGCCGGCCTTGCACCATCCCCGAGAGCTATGTGAAGCTTGATATGCCTTTGAAAGACATGCAGGTGCTCAGCCCTACCCTCAAGTCCGAGACGTACCAGCAGCTTGACGGCTGGTTTTTTACCGCAGCAATGTGAGCCACAGAGGTCCTCTCTTACTCACTTCTCTCAAAAGCTGACCCAGTCATAGTAAGCTATATGTAGTCATGTTCAACGTCCTCGACACATGTTACTGCCAAAACCTCGGATTCGAGCATCCCCTCACGACGGCAGATGCCATACCCCAGATCCTAGAAGGCGAAAGGCAGCTAGAAGAATGGCGCTTCCAAACGGTGCCTGCGCTCGGTCTTCGACTATGGCACCAACCCATTTTTGCGGATGACCTAGCACAGATGGATCAGGAGTCTACCATCCGCCATCGGTTCGGCATCGTGCTTTCAGTACGCTACCACAACCTGCGCATCCTCCTGTACCGCAATTTCCTGGAGGGGTTCCTAGACGCGTACAGCCTAAACAAACCTCTTGCTCCAGATAATAAGCTCGTCCAGCAGATGAGTCTTACTGGCGTGCAAAACTGCATTGAATCCGCCACGTCTATCATCCAAACCGTGCATACAATCACCGCATCGAAAGGCTGGCGCCGTGGACTGCTCGGTGCTTGGAACTTTTCTCTCTACTACAGTAAGCAATTTTGACAGATTTAGTTCAGACGCCCACTGACCATGGCTTAGCATTCAACGCCGGCCTGACCATCTTCGGTGCCCTGCTCGTCTCATCTAAGGAAAGCCGCCATGATCCCTCGCAGTGGTGTGCGGTCGAGCAGTCTCGCCCATATGTCGACATGGCCGCGGAAGCGCTCCGGCGTTTGGACTCGGGGAATCGGGTCATCGAGCGCTGTGTTGAGTATCTGGCCCAACTATCCATGATCCTCAAAGCCACAAGTAAGTGTCTTTCTCCTGGAATACAAGTTGTGCATTTGGCTCTTGCCTTTTGTTCTCGATATTAATATTTTCCAGATGGTACTGGTACCGGTGCTGGGACGGGTATCAGCGAGTCTAGCATCTACAACACCGGCGTGCCGCTGCAGGCACCCATGTATGCTCCCGACATGGTCTTGCAGCAGCATGGCACAGGGCACCAGCCCACGATGTGGTCAAACAATATGGATCTGGGGGAGTTTATGATGGATAATGATTTGGATTTTTTGGGCCGGTTATTCAATTTCAATCATGAGGGAGCGGGAATATGAGAAAAAGTCGTCCTTGTTTCGGGTCGGTGCGCTGGGCGGGAAATATATATCTCAGGTCCCTTTAGGAGACCAAACGCACTCGTAGGTTTTGAATACTATACTCGAGTTCAAGTAAAGCTACTACATATACTATCCGATAAGTAGAAATATGTTGCCAGTTTCATTTATTTTTTTTGTCTTTAGTATGTTATTTTCTTGCCTGACGCGCACATATCCGGTACCTACATAGTGTACAAGGCCGAGGGCCAAGAACAAAACAAAAAGAAAAAAAAAGCCCTCTCACCATCCACGACATGAATCCATTGAAATGACAAAACACAGAAGCCAAAAACGGGTTGATCCAATGGAAAAACGAAGGAGACGATTGGTCTCATCTCCCTCCCGCGAAACAATTAAACATCAGCAACGTCGAGATCGCCATCGGCACCTGCATCAGCCGGGGCATCAGGCATGTCAGACTCAGCAGAAGGCGGGGGGAGAGTGCCGACGGGGGTAGCGTTAGCCAGGGCATCGGTAATGAACGAGTCCTCGACAGCGGCCTTGCGACGGAAGACACGAAGCCAGCGACGGCCCCATTGGCGGATTATGGCGTCCTCAGGCAGATCCCCGCTGCCGTCGCCGCGCTCCATTTGCTCGTCGTTACTGCCGGCCGCAACAGAGACAATAGAGTCCTCAATGAATTTAAAGAGAGCGTGCATTTCGGAACGCTCGCGGGAGAGGGTCTCGTCCAAAACACTCAGCTGGGGCTCGTACAGGGTAGGCTGGGTACGGGCAGCAACAATCTGGCGCATGCGATTGGTGACCTTGCCGACGGTGGCGGTAATTATTTCAAAGATGTGAGTCTTTGCCAGGATAGTGCCGGCTTCCATGGACTCGGAGAGAGCCCATTGCAAGACAGAGAGAGGGCTGAGGATGGTGTAGTTGAGCAGCTTGTCGATGATATTGATGGCAATGCCAGGCTGGTCTGTCCAGTACTCCATGACAGAGGTGATGATCTGGCAGCGTGCACGCGGCGACTCCTGGCCGATGGCTAAGAGGCGTTCCTTGTTTCGTTCAATGCACGACAGGACGTGCGACAGCGACTTAGACCCTACGAAGCAGATCGATGTCACCAAAGCATCCGTTGACGGAACTTTGGGGTCTTCTACCCCCAAGTTCTTGGCCTGCTCTTCGATGGATGCAATGATAGGCTGGATTTCCTCGTCACCGGCTTTCTTGCGGATGAGCTGCATAATATCTTGCCCTTCCTTGGAATAGGGCGTCACTGCCATTCAAGTTAGCAGCCGTCGAAGCCATTTCTAGAAAGAACCCTGTTACTTACTCTCAGCCAGGTACTTGAATTCAGGAGTATCTTTCTCCTTGCCCTCTGAAATGAAGGACTGATACGCCTCCGGAAGAGTACCCTTGATTCGTTGCGCGAAGCTAAGCCGAATTTCTTTGTCCAGAGCACCGTGGATGAAAGCCATCTTCGGGTGAACAATTGGCAGATCAAGATCGTCGACCCTTGAAAAAACAAGTTAGCGTCTCGAATGTTAAAGAAAAACCCGCAAAAGCTCCTTACCATTCGCTCCATTTCCATGTGAAGCCGAAGTTGCTGAGATGATGGGCGAACCAATCCAAGAAACGATAGGTGAGGTCCAAGTCCATCGTCTCCACGCTGTTATACAGAAACCGGATTGCACGGCCCAAGCTGGGCGCAATTGCCGCCGGAGCAATTTTGCAACATTCGGTGAGCAAGGAGTGATAGTAGACGAGCTTGTGCTCCGGAGTAGGCAGCTGGAACAACTGAGAGAAGACCGCATCCACAGCCACATCCTCGGGTTTCCATGCCCTGTCTTCCGGCGCCAGTTCACGCATCCGATCGAAAGGCGTCGCACGTTTCACAAAGATATGGGGCGGAAAGTAGCAATCCACATCGATAAGGAACTTGGCCGTAGCAACCCGACTGAAGTCGAGGAGATTGATCGTATCGACCAACGCGTCTCTCAAGAGTGACGAAGCGATGTCCGAGGGAGAAGGGACAGTGTCCACCTCTTGGTCCGCATAGACGGAGAGATAGACCTCTGGGAATAGAGCCCGCGTGCCGTTCTTCACCGGGTTAGGAATCGTAATCTGGGGAAAGGCAATCTTGGATACATTCTCAAGCAACCTGGGTTCACCAGTCTCGTCATCACGCAGATGCTTCCATGGCCGGGGAAGACAGGTGAGCTCCCATCCCCGACTGGCCTCACCTTGAAGCTGAGTCTGAAGCAGACTGATGACACTTTGACCAGCGGCTGGCTTGTTCTCTTCCGGGCTGAAGGTATTCACCAGGTCCACGAGCGGGTGCGGAGTGGAAGCAATGACATCCGTCTTCTCCAGAAGCGCAGAAGCCTGGGAGTCGAAGCCTGAAGCGGGGGACAACATCACGAAAGGAATCGTGAAGAGGATGACCTTCACAAGCTCCAAACCAAGAAGCTGTACCCGTTCGAGTCAGACTATTGCGAACAGCTAAACACAGACAGAAACACTTACATCTTCCGAAGACGCTGTCTGGAGATCCACGGCACGAGAGAACAGCTCCTCCAGTAGCGGGAAGATACCCTCTCCCTCAAATGCCGGCTGCAGGACACCCAGGAATCGAAGGAGGAGCTTGACCTCACGCCACGCTCCCATTCCAACGTACTTCTGAAGGGCATCACCGGCCTTGTTGATAACCTCCGTTCCAAGCTCAGGTTTCAGGCCGTGTGCACACAAGACCGTTGTGGCGACGAAAGGAATCTTCATCGGTTGCTCAAGGACACTGCCACAATGTCAGTAGATTTACAACCCAGATGTTCCAACGCAACACATACAGGTCAATGGAGATGTTGGTAAAAGTTTCGCGCAGCTCCTCGTCGTCATAGTTGTCCACTACCGTCTTCGCAATCCCCTGCACATCGTCCTCCACTCGTCGCGCAGCCTAATAGCAAGACCCAAGGTCAGTAGTTTGAAAGATAAAAACACCGGCAAGCAGGATTGCGCGCGGGCAGAAAAGGGATCGTACCGATTCGGCGAGGGTGAGCAGTTGTCGCCGGACCTGAACCACGAGCGGTTCCTCATATCTGCGTCGCTGCGGACGGTGATCATCGTCATCGTCATCTGTCGAGCAGTTGAATTGTCAGCACAGGGGGTATGCTCATCCAGGTCGCGCAATCCCCTTCTGAGGTCATCCCAATACGCACCTCTGTAGCGCCTTTTGCGGCCACCACCTCTTGGGCGGTCATAGGGTCGACGGTCGTAATCAGCCATTGTGTGGGACAAATTGAAGGGAGATCCAGATGTTCCCAAGGCCGAGTGTCCCACGGGGAGGAAGCAGTCAGGAATGCGAAAGACAAGCTTGAGAGAGAGCTTCGGGGTTTGGGAAACTCAATGGTCGCTCGGAGGCTGGGTTATTCCGGTCCGACCAAGTCGAATACTTCGTGCTGCACCCTACGGATACCTACGTTACTGGGGATGAGAGCAAACTGAGAGAACCGTCTGTGCGATGGAACAAGGACACATAGCTCATCGGGAATCGACCAGACTGGTCCTGGTCGCCATGAACGGGCGCTGGACAAATGATATCGGGGAAATAAGAAAAGAGAATAAAAAAGGGAACACAAACAAAAAAAGAAAAAAGATAGCAAGGACGCGAATCAAAAGGGAAGAACAAACGGGGTTTTCTAGCGCTGCAAGTCGAGGGAATTCAACACCTATACTCCACGGGCCAGGCGCCGCCGTGCAATCCGTGTATCCCAACAGAAATCCTCAAGATTTCTGATGCTGGCGGTGATGAAGACCATCCTTGCCACCCAGGTTTCCTTCCCCATGACTGAGAGAGACGAAGCTATGCAGTCTTGCAATCCCCCGCAGGCAGACTCGCACAGATAAGGGTATCACTTTTTCCTCCCAAAGAGCTGTCTCAGACACCTCCAGAACTCCAGGCCATGACCTCCCACCATTGCGTGAAATTCGTCATAAACCTTGCAATGAAACGCTGAACGGTTGCACTCGCTTCACTCATACTCGGCCTCCTTCCGTGTCAACTCCTCTCCATGCTGCTGGATCAAGGTATGAACGTCCAGCAAAATTCGCGTTTCACCGACCCAGAGCAGTCGATCCCCTGCCACATCGGACAGCAAATCAACAGGTAGACATTTCAATCAGGGTGTGCATGTCAACTTCAATCGAGGCGTGCCATCATCTCCTCCTTTGTCAGAGGCTTGAAGTTGTCGATATCGAGCCCTTGGGCCTCGAGAGCCGGCCGTATGTGAGCGGGGACCAGTTGGTGGTTCAGCGAGGGTGCGATCGACAGTTCTATAATAGCAGCGTTAGCAGACATGCAAGGACGAAAGAAAAGAGAATGGTGCGTACCATGTCGCGAGAAATCGAAGAGAGTGGGCATCTCCTTGGCCGGGTTGTTGTGGTGACGCGAATCCGGTAACCGAGTGTTGGGGTCCCGAAGCTCATCGAAGAAGGGGTGGCACATGGCTTCAATGGCCGACAGGCGTTGCGTGGGCGTATATTCCAGGAGGGCGGAGATGAGATCGATAGCCTCTGGGGGCGCCTTGCGGAACACCTTGTTGAAGGGATGCGGCTTGATCTGCGGGAACTTGTGTTCCATGTAGTTGGGATTCATGGTCCGGATTTGTTCGCGCGTCGGGGTTCCGAGAACCTTGATAATTTCCACCAGCTGGTCAATGCCCGATTCACCAGGGAAGAGGGGTTGTCCGAGCATCAGCTCAGCCATCACACAACCGGTCGACCAAACATCTAGAATTTGGTTAGCATGCGACCGACTCCAAAGGTGGATTCACGTACCGATCTTGGTTGTGTAGTTGGTCGCACCAAAGATCAACTCGGGCGCGCGGTAGTAGCGAGAACAGATGTAGGAGACGTTGGGTTCGTTTTCGATCAGGATCTTGGCAGACCCAAAGTCGCAGAGTTTCAGGACACCCGTGTTGGGGTCCAGGAGCAGATTCTGCGGCTTGATGTCCCGA